CCCCTATGGGCACCGGCTCATGTCCTGGATGCACCACTTCCCATCCAACTCCCTACTTGTGACCTGGGAAAGCAGTAGAGGATGGCCCAAGGCCTTGGGACCCTGTACCCACGCCAGAGACCCAGAGGAAGCTCCTGGCTCCTGGCTTCAGATTGGCTCAGCTCTGGCCATTAAAGCCACTTGGGGAGTGAACCAGTGGACAGAAGATCTTTCTATGTCTTCTTCTCTCTGTAAAGCACCTTGCTAATAAATATAAAATCTTAAAAAATTTTAAAGGCTTCACTGATCCTCACTGTGAGGACACTGTTCTTCCTTTATGCTTACCAGGTGTGCCCTGTGCATAAATCACTCAGAGCTTTTGTCCCACAGTTATGTCTGTATCCAGGGCTAGCACTCTTAAACACCGATACAGTTGAATGGATATGTATAGAAGGAAAGAAAGGAAGGTGATAAGGAGACAGGTGATGGTGATTCATTCTGATGTGGACACGTGGGAACTGGAAGGGATAAAGAGAAAAACGGGAGGATTGCGGGGTGGGGAACCCCTGGCCACAGGCCCTGCAGGTCACGTAAGGTCTGTGATATTTGGCGTGGCCCTGCCAAGGCAGCCAGAGGCAGTAAATCCATAGCAGGCTTATTTGTGAATTGATAAGTTGGGATGGCTTGAAAGTGATGCCCTTGGCAGAAAAGTTTCCCACTCCCTGCGAGAGATCTTAGTTCCTGTTGTAAGGTGTGGTTCTCTGTTCTTACTACTTTCCCTTTCACACTTTTGCTTTGAGAAGAGGATGTTTGTTCAGAGACTGTTAGGAAGGCATTGCAGGAGCAGACCTGTGTGCAGGGTTTGTATCCTGGAGCTAATTCGTATTCATATGCTGATGATGACAGGAACAAAACCTGGCTAGTTTTATGAAACTCAGGCAGCAGTCAAGTTTTAAATCTTTCTCAAAACTCTTGCTCCACTTGAAAAAAAAAATCAGAAAAATCCTAATATTTCTTTGAACCGTACTATGTACCTGGCTATGTGACTGACACAATATATTCGGTCCGTATTGTTTTGTGTCTACCTAACAGGGAAGGTTGTTCATCTGCATTTTTCAAAAAATAGATGGAAGGTGTTTATCTTTCACATGTGATGAAAATAATAATTATTTAAACATTTCAAAAGAAACCGTTTCAGAGAAGTAGTTCACTCAAAACTGCTGCTCAGTTCAAATGCAGTATATCTGATAAGATTCTTTCCCCTAAAACTGTTTGCCCTGTTAAATGTTAAGATGAAAACAAGCCCTGGATTATTAGGGCTTCTTGCATGCTGGGTGGGTGTGGGGACAAAAGCTGGAAGCCACTCCAGGTGCTTTTCATTGAGGTTTGTGGCGGTGATGATGATGACAGTCCTGAGGAAACAGAGGCTTCCCAGTCAGTGGCCTGGGAGCAGGCTGCGTGATTTCCCCTGTTTGTGTGTGCTCCCGCCTCGTGTTGACTCGCCTGCCCACCCCCGGACACAAACCTCCTACACGAAAATGTTCCGGTGGAGCTGGCCAAAAATGCAGAGTCCCAAAGTGTGATCCACAGGCTGGGGCAGTCGTGACAAATACCTCAGGCCTGTCGTCAGAGTCCGGGTGGCAGGCAGCAGCTCAGCCTTTCCTTATTTGAAGTACATGCACTAGGAAGTCAAGTGCATCCCACGATAGATGAGGAGACTTAGAGTCCCATGAAAATTTTGGACATGTCTTCATAATCCAGGATCTGAATATCTCCCCAGACTATGATATGACCTATGCAACAATAAGGATGTAAACATTTTTACTGTACTGTAATTACTTTTAGTAGTTCAGTGTTACCACTTTGATCTTAAAGCTGAAATATTTCCAAGTAATCCATAAGTTAGGCCTTATTCAAGACATTTGTTTTCGAAGAGTAGAACTACGGCATAGATTCCGATGTGGGGACAGACTTTTGTAGCACCGTATGCATCCTTTTCTCTCCCCTTTTTGCACCGTTCCAATCTCTGGTGTCTGCCAGGCTGCATGACTCTTGAACACCTGTCATTGCTTCATTCACGAGGCTTCCGCCCTTTATTATCTTTCTGGCAATCCAACCTTATTTCCTGTGCTTTTCTTGATTAACTAGTCATAAGGTGGTTCCCCCCAACTCCACCCTGTCTAAGTATGCAACTCCCCATGACTCACTCTTTTTAATTGTTTCTAATGTATTTGTTCCATTGTGTGTGAAGTGTTGCACCATGTGCGTGACCACATACGTGCTCCCATTACACTGGTCAGGCATATGTTCAGCGTTAGCTTTATGCCTGAGAGTGCTGTTTATGAGCTTCCAAAACTCACCTGAGCTCTCTTTGTGAAGATGAAATGATAGCATCCGTCCTTCTAACGCAAGGCATCTGGCACGTGGTGAACGCGGGGCCTGTGTTAGGCATCCTGTCTTCTCTTTCTCCTTTGGAGTTCACACTTATGAAGCACCTGTGATGCACCTGGCTAGCCAGCAAGACAGGAGCAGTATCTTACCTGACATGGAGGAGATAAAAAAAAAATAAGCAATATACTCTAAATTAGGTAGAATTACTATTGAAGATCAATTTCATTTGGATTTGGATGATAACAACAGTGTCGGTGAAATATGAACCCATCTTTATGTTTCTTCTATGAAACCTTCAGAGACGTTTTGAAGTTTCAAGTGTTAGACCCTGCCTGTTAGCTGACTTGACAGCGAGAACTGGATGGAGAGCGGCCGCAGCCCTTCGTTACTGGCGTTCCTACTGCAGGAGCGGGCAGAGTCAGCCACTTCTTCGATTCGAGACTGATCAGTAGAAGGAGACAGAGTCCTCAGTGAGGGTCTTGGCAGGAGGCAGGATAGCACAGACTCCGCTCTTGGAGAAGGTGGGAGGGCTGTGGAGTCTCACGCCCTGAGGCAGCAGCTGGCCTGTAGTTGTCAGTCTTCTTGAAGTGAGAAAGAAAAGTATTTTCCCAGGGCAGATAGCACCACACGAAATATTTTCTCGCTGTAAGGGCTCTGGTGGAAGCTTGCAGGGAGCAGAAGGGAGCGACAAGCAGCCTGAGAAAGCTCCAGGGCCGCTGTCAACACCTGGAACAAAGATGGACTGACTGGCAGATGGGGGTTAACCATCAAACAGCTTAGGGCAGGTCAGTGCTTTCCCCATGCCTGAGAAATGACCCTGTCACAACACATTATCTTGTTTTGCTCTTTTTACTTGTCTATGGGAAAAAAAAAGGCAGTTCTCAAATATGGCAAACATGAGAAAAACTGTGGAAAAGAGGTGGAGGTTTGGGGGGTCTCAGTGTCTTCTGCTTGGGCAGATACTGTAGACTGAGTAGTTGATGAGCAATAGCAATTCGTTTCTATTCTGGAAGGTCAAGGTCCCAAGACTGGGTGCCAGCCGGAGGCCCATTGCTCACACACAGTGCCTCTGCTGTGGCTGCCTGTGGCAGAAGGGCAGGCTCATCTCTGCAAGTGACGTGATGGGGGGCGGATGGGGCTGGTCCCTGTGGGCCTTCCTCTCTGCCTGGGGCTCTTTTCTGACACTGCCTTAGCACTGGCCACCTGTCCACTACTTGCTAGGTACTTAGGACAGTACTCTGTCACCGGTTTGGATTCTATCCCTTCTCTACTCTCCTGTGTATACACAAAACAGGCCTCTAGGAAAGACTTGAGGCTTCACTGATTTTCCTGTGTCATGTCCAACATGTATGAGAGGCTGGCGCTGTGGCGTAGACCGTAAACCCATCACCTACTATGTGGGTCATGTCCTGGCTGTTTTACTTTAAATCCAGCTCCCTGCTAATGGCCTGGGGAAAGCAGCAGAAGATGGTCCAAGTATTTGGACTCCAGCAACCCTTGTATGAGGCTCAAATAAAGCTCTTGGCTTTGACCTCCCCAGTGCTGGCCATCTGAGGAGCAGGCCAGTGGATGAAAGACCCTCTCTCTGCATCTTCCTCCGTCCGCGACTTTCGAAGTAAATAAATAAGTACTGGCCAGGAATGGCAATGTCCTAGCTTCAAAACCATGTTCACTTTTATGAATGTTGAATTTTGTTTTGAGATTTATTAATGTATTTGAAAGAAGGTGGGGGGCTGGAAGGAGAGAAAGAGAGACTCATACTCACTTTCAAAATAGCTAGGGCTGCCAGGCCGGGCTGCAGACAGGAGCCAGGAGCTGCATGCAGGTCTCCCATGTGTGTGGCAGGGCCCAAGCACTGGAGCCATCTTCGGCTTTGCCAGGCCAGTAGAAGGGAGCTGGATTGGAAGCCGAGCAGCTGGGCATGAACTGATTCTCATATAGGATGCTGGCACCACAGGTGGCCATGTCACTCATTGTGCCAGGACCGCAGCCCTTGTGTTTTTTCTCTCCATGCGTCCTCCCTGTCTGTCCTCTCCCCTCCCCCAATTCCCCATTAATATTCTTTTAGTAAAATCTTAACAAGTGGAATTCCCTGTGTTGTCCATTTTGGAAACTTGGAATATGCCTGTCACTTACTATAAAATCAACAGCTTCCAGCGGAGAATCCAGGTGTGGTGGTCCACTGTCCCCTTCCTAAGTGGCAGTTAAAAAACTACTACAGAGGTGAGCAAAACCTAGGAGATGAATCAAGGAAAATGATATTCAGGGAACAGGTGCTTAGCCTAGCAGCTAAGACGCCTTGGTTCCATACTGGAGTGCTGGGTTTGAGTGTTGGCTCCATCCACAGTTTATTGCTTGTGTCTACCCAGGAGGCAGCTGTGGATAGCTCAAGTAATTAATTGGGTTCCTGCCATCTCTGTATGAGACCTGGATTTCCTAGCTCTAGGCTTGGGCCCCCATTCAGTTCTGGCTGTCGTGGGCATCTTGGGGAGTGAACAAACAGATAAAGTTCTCTCTGCCTGTCAACCAAGCAATGGAAAAACTGAGAACTCTTTACCAACTGCCTTATGTGTGAGAGGCTCTGCATCCCAGGCACGTATGTACTACCGTGTGGGTTTGTTTCCCCGTAGGGTTTCTGGAGTCTCTGGATGACTTCTACATCCTCAGCAGTGGGCTGATATTGCTGCAGACCACCAACAACGTGTATAATTATACTCTGAGAAAGCAGGTGACGCCTGAAAGTCTCCTGGCCTGGCAAAGAGTCCGTGTGGCCAACATGATGGCAGACAGTGGCAAGAGGTGGGCAGAGGTCTTTCTAAAATACAACTCTGGTAAGTGGCCCTGCAGAGTATTTTCTAAAGGCTTACATGTATGTTCAGGGTTGTTAGCCAGTCAAGCCGTCTTCAGCTTTCTCTTCATGTCTCCTGCCACTCTAGGTACCTATAATAATCAGTACATGGTCCTAGACCTGAAGAGGGTGAAGCTGAACTACAGCCTTGACAGAGGCACTCTGTACATTGTGGAGCAGATTCCTACATACGTAGAATATTCTGAACAAACGGATATTCTGCGGAAAGGTATCTTGATGCCCCAAGTCTGGAGGTCAGATGAGTATATGCGCACACACGTGCAAGGAAGAATGTATGATGTGTGGTTGTATGAAGGGGGACTGTATGATGTGGGGGGAAGAAGGTTAAACACTGGCTTTCACAAGCAAAGGAGGACCAGGCTGAGCACCTGCGAATCTATACCTTAACCAGTAGCATGCCTGGATGGGGGAGACGGGAGAAGGACTGGCTCCAAGTCCTTTGGACTGTTGGTAACAAAATGATGGACTTGAGTCCTTTGTGATTTCGCTCCCAGGACCCATGAGACTACTCTAAGGTCACCTGTTGTTAAGTTTTATGATTGTTTCCCTTATAAAGATGAAGAAACTGAGGTACAGAGAAGTTTAGTAGCCTTTCCAAGGTGATATGCCACATAGTGGCCACAACAGGCTTCAAATGCAGGCACTCCGAACTCCTGAGACTATAATATGATGTGGTGGTGTAGCAACAAACCTGAGTTTGCTCTGTAATTTCCACACCATCCTTACTTCTGTTCTTCCTGAGGCGGGCTATTTCCCAGCATGGGATTAATGGCTTGTCTCTTGCGTTTTCTAAATAAGCTTGCCTCTGAAAGGTCCTACCCATGGCAGCAAAAAAAAAAAAAAAAGCAGAAATGCGGAGATGAGCCGGGGGACTATGGCGAAACTGTCACTGTGTGACTGTCCCATTGGCCATCACCCAGGCAGGTGGAATGGAGGCTGTTCCTGAAATACGGCTTGCGTTTGGGCTGCTGTTTTGGTGCTCAGGGGCTAATGTACTCAGTAGCCTTGGCACACCAGGAAGATGTGAATAATGCAATCTTTTCATCACCAGACCTCACATGACAGACCTGCCTTCCCACTCCCTGCAGAAAATGAAGTGCACTACCTAGTACCTAGTGTTCAGCACTGATGCTAGAATTGAGGGTTTCTGATTCCCAGTGCTGTCTTCCTCCACTATCCAAAGGTTAGCACTTTGGACCTTTTCTTTTAGGGCCATGTTGTGAACCATCCTGTGTCATTTCAGTAGCCAAACCACTTTGCATTACGCTTCATTTCACTCTATAAACAATGCTGTTTTTCTGGTACATAATGTAAGAATTTGGGGGTAAAGACATAAGTTCTAATGCTCTTTCCTCCCCAAATGAAAACATCTGAGGGCTTAAGAATGTCCCGAAATCCAAAAGGATGTTCCGCTAGCTTACTTCACATTTACAGTGTTGTTTTCCATACAGTATTACTTTGTAATCACCAACCTGTGCCAATTTTCAGAACAAAGTATCATTAACCTACCCCTCTTATTCCCCCTCTTCTCTTTCTACCCTTTCCCTTCTGCTCATTCCTAATCAGGATATTGGCCCTCCTACAACATTCCTTTTCATGAAAAGGTCTTCAACTTGAGTGGCTACCCAGTGTATGTTAAGAGGCTGGGCCTGGACTACTCCTATGATTTATGTCCACGAGCCAAAATCTTCCGCCGTGACCAAGGGAGAGTGACAGATATGACATCCATGAAATACATCATGCGATACAACAGTACGTAGCCCATTTCTCAAGACCCATTCTTCAAAACTCCTTTCCTTCCCCATGGATAAAGAATCCGTGAAGTTCATCATCAGAAGGAATTATAGGAAATTATTTGAGTATTTGGGAATCAGCACTCTACATAAATTGAACAACTAGAGTTTTGACAGAGAAATGACTACAGGTCTTTTTATTGGAAAACTGATATATAAAATGAAAAACAAAACAAAAACCCCAGAACTACGCAGGGTTTCTTTTTCCCTCCCACACACAGGTGTCATGGACAAAGACAGCTAATAGCAAAAATATTCGTGCTTTATTTTTGACAAACATCATCATCAGTGTCAAGTTGACATTTCTTTTATTGGGAACAGCATCAATGTCAAATTGACATTTCTTTTATTGGAAAAACAGGATATTTATCTACTGGTCCCCTGCATCCACCTGTGCCTCACTGTGTGAGGTTCTTGAGGCAGGCTGGCTGCGGGAACAAGCCAAGGAAGATGTCTGTGTGTGGCAGTGGGTGGGCCTGGAGCTTGCGGGGGTGCACTCTGATCGCCTAGTCTTTAGCGGGTCCCAAATCGTTACTGTGACTAACTTGCTCACAGAATAGCCGGGACTCAAGTTCTTCCCATCACTTCATTTCCTAGATTATAAGTCGGATCCTTACAGTCGGGGTGATCCCTGCGATACCATATGCTGCCGCTTGGACCTCAGCAAGACTAACCCAGTTCCCTTTGGTTGCTATGACACAAAGGTAACTTTCACCAGCATGCAGGCTGCAACAAAGCTGCAGATTTTATTTATTTATTTACCACATTGAAATTGTTAAGTGCTGTGATGTAATGTGACCAGTACCAAACAGGGCCACGGGTCTGCTGAAGCAGCCTCGTGTGAGCAGGTAAGAACCAACTGTCTGTTACCCACAGTGGGATCACTGGCACCATGGCAATCAGTAAACACTATAAATCAGGACCTTTCCCCACCCCCAGCCTCAGCTGGGTGCTAAGCATTTACCTGCACACCAGGAGTGTGGGAAGTCCAAGGGCAGACTTGGCTACTTGGTGGTCAAGTCTCCATTTGCACCACCTGTCCTAAATGCTGAAAGAAATCTTTAAGGTGTGAATTGTCCATATGTTTGGGGCAGAAAATCATAGAAATGCCAATACCAGCTACACTGTCACTGATGCCTAATGGGAAATGCTGTAGACTAGCACTGAGTTGAAGCACAACATGCTCTCTAGCTGTGTGACTACCAAGCTTTACCCTTTGTGGTTGTCAGCATGTCACGTAGTGCAAAGAAAAAAAAAAAAACAGCTGTGAGCTCAAGCGATGGTCTGCTGTGTGTTTTAATGGTATTTGCAAACATTGAGCAAAGTGTGTGAAAAGTGGGACTTCAAAAAGCTCATGGAAATTAGGATGAAAAGGTGTCTTATTGGGGGACCAGGCAGAAATAAAACCTGTATGTTCCTTCACAATACCTGTTTTCCATTAATTTTTGGAAGACCTCTCCTTGAACATCCAAAATCATCCCTCCTGCTTTGCCTAGGAAGCCGAGCTTCCATTCACCAAACATTACTTTTTGCAGACAAGGCCTGCCTTAGCATTTTTGTCAAGTTTCTGGAGGGTATACTTTAAAAAATATACCTTTTCTCTTTACATTCATTTTGAATGAATGGGCAAATCAAGTTACAAGAGGTTTTTTCCCTCCTTCTAAAGACCCCCTGCTCCCAGTGATTGTTTCTGAGAACCAAAGACCCAAGAATGCATACTTGTGCTAGTCATTCACATTTCAGTGCCAACTGGATCCAGATGAGAACACATAGGAAGATCAGTGAGCCTGCGAGAGGATTTAAAGGATGCTCAACCTGGGAATTTTTAGAGTATGGGGTGGAACCTACGGACGCAGTGATCTAAAATGTCCTCACCTCTTTTCCAGGTGTCAGATGTCCACCTAGCTTCCCAGTATACAGCCTATGCCGTCAGTGGCCCCACCGTGCAGGATGGGCTCCCTGTTTTTCACTGGAGTCGTTTCAACAAAACCCTTCATCAGGGCATGCCGGACACCTACAATTTTGATTTTATTACCATGAAACCGATTTTGAAAAAGATGAAGGAGGATGAAGCTGAAGGTAACGGAATGAAATAGAAGGCAGATAAAAAGATACCAAAGGCACTATTTTGCTATGTTTTTTCTTGTCAAAAGCATTCTTAATAAAATACATTAAATCATTTTGATTTTCCACTGATTCCTTTGAGTGGGGAGAGGGCAGCAGGGAAAGTGTAAGGCAGAAGTATCCAGAGGGATCCAGAAGGATCCAGAAGGAGCGCTCCTTTTGCAGATTCACCCTAAATGCTCACACTAGCCAGTAGCCAGGCTCCCACGTGGTAGCAGGGACCCCATTTCTTGGGCTATCCTTACCAGTTCCCAGGGTCTGTAGTGGAGAGAAACTGGGAGCTACGGTAGAGCCAGAAATTGAACTTAAACAGGGCAGATATAGCTCTAGATTTTAACAGCAAGCATTTACTGCATAGCATAGCACTGTAAAAGAAACATTATATATAGTTATTTCCAGAAATTCCTAGACAACACCATTAAAAGAGTTAAACATTACTTAGTGAAAAATTGTTTGGAAATCATATATCATGGTCCCTTCAAAAAGTTCATACAAATGTATATTACAAAAATAAAATGATCTCAAAAATACTACGTACTCAAATAGATTAATCTGTGACTTTTAAAAAAAATTTATTTATTGGAAAGGCGCATATACAGAGAAAAGGAGACACACAGAGGAAGATCTTCCGTCTGATGATTCACTCCCCAAATAGCTGCAATGGCTGGTGCTGTGCCAATCTGAAGCCAGGAACTAGGAGCTCTTCCAGGTCTCCCACATAGGTGCAGGGTCCTAAGGCTTTGGGCCGTCCTCAACTGCTTTCCCAGGCCACAAGCAGGGAGCTGGATGGGAAGCAGGGCCACCAGGATCCCGGCACATGCAAGGCAAGGACTTTAACCACTATGCTATTGTGCCGGACCCCTTCTCTGACTTCTATATGAATTTTTGTAAGTTCGTGTCCCTGTATGACAAGTACAGTTGGCTTCAGCATGCAAATGACAAGGTGTGACAACTGCTCCCTCATTCACTCAAACTTGTTACTGTCCTTTCATGCCTACTAACAGTGTTCACACATCACTTAGGGCCTTACGCAGCTGGGTGGCAGGGCTGAGGCATCTGTGTACAGGCATCATAAGGACCTGTACTCCTCCCGGGCTCTGAATGACAAAGCTTCGGGGATAGTGAAGCTGTGGCCTCAAAAGCACATTCGGCTGAAGTCCTCTCCTTTCATGCGCCGGGATCCCGTATGGACGCCAATTCTAATCCCGGCAGCTCCACTTCCCATCCAGCTCCCTGCTTGTGGCCTGGGAAAGCAGCTGAGGATAGCCCAAAGCCTTGGAACCCTGCACTCACGTGGGAGGCCTGGAAGAGGCTCTGGGCTCCTGGTTTCAGATTGGCTCAGCTATGACGTTGTGGCTGCTTGTGGAGTCAATCATTGGATGGAAGATCTTCCTCTCTGTATATCTGCCTTTTCAATAAAAATAAATCTTAAAAAATAAAAGCACCCACTCAAGAAGTGTGGCTCTTCTGGTCGCTGACAGGCATCCGGCAAGTCTTTCTGTGTTGCAAGTTTGGACACAAAACATAATGAATGAAAGGAGGTGTATGTGATCAGGAGGCAACACTGCACGGAGTGTGTGTTTAAGCAGCATGGACTGCCACCTAGGGTGAATACGCCACAAGGAACAGTGAGGTAGGGTGACTTCAAATAAGCACAAGGGCTGAGAATAATCAGAGTACTCAGAATGTTAAAAACCCAGTTCTTTATTTCAAAGTATAAATTTCAGGCTTGCTGGACAAAACCCCACTACAGTTAACAGTTACACAGACGCCACTCTACTATACATTAAAAAAAGAAAAAAAAATTACCCACAAAAACCTTCAAAACCTAATAAAAATAGGACAACGTGCCCAGTTTATATTAGACATTAGGAAGGCCTTATACATTGTCTTAGTATTTACACTTTGCAATAAAGAAAAATCAGGATGCAAGTTTCCTACAAAGGGCTTATTTTAATATTTAGTTTTGAAGTGACTAATAAAATACTAAGGCCAGGATCCCCAAAATGTGTTTGATTGCCCAGTTACCCTATTTACAGAAATAAAAACACCAAAAAAAAAAAAGAGAGAGAAAAGAAAAACCCTCAATCAACAAAAGGATAACATTTAAATACAAATGATGAGTAAACTCACTTGATACTACAAATAAACAAAAGCTTATTTGAACATGATGAAGTTATTTGAAGAAGAGAAGACAGATGGATTTGTATTATTCTGTTCCTCCCTACTGGCTGGCTCAAGGGGAGGGATGACTTTGTGGAATTATATAAATCTAACATGCTAAGGAAAGCCACAGGAGACTTACTCTGCTTTTTGGGTGTGTGTATCAAAGTTTAATAAAGGAAAAAGAAAACTGCCCAGTAAAAAGAGAAGAAGACAGAATCATATACTAGTTTTAGACAGAATTATCCATAATAATATATTACTGGGCTATGGTGTCTCTGCAAATCAAAGATCAGCCATGGGCAAACGAGAAAATAACAACAAACAAAGAACACCCTGGAACACTGAGGATACCAAACCGGCCTCAGCTCAGTCGGGAGCACATTCAGGCTTTGCAGTACCCTGCTGTGCCAGGTGAGGATACCACAGGTATTATTTTGCTGATCATGTACAGTACTGAAAACTTAAAGGACAAGATAAGTGCATATCATGCAACAGTAATACTAGCGCTGCCGAATAAATGACAATTTGGAAAATATTTAAAGCAAGAGAGCAAAAAACAAATACTAAGTTAACACTTCTCCAATGTTGTGTGGTACAGTCTGCCTGAAGACTTGTGCAGAGAGGCACACCCTCCCAGCCTAAGCTTCTGTGTCGGTCCCTGTGTTCAAGGTCCTTCCCTCCTGGCCAGGGGGAGAGGGTGTGGGGACCACCTCTCTGGGAGGCAAATGGTACCCCAATATTCTTAGGAAGGAAAGCTCTCCACTTCTCTCATAAAATTATACACTGTGCTCAACAGTGCACAGTCTTGTGCATATTTTAAAAGGGAGTCCAGAGAAAAATTACCTCATGAAGTTCAACTGCAATCTATAGCTCTACTAATAAGAACATTATCTTAAAAAAAGAAGCTTACACCGAAAACACGGTGAAAATTTCTCTGGCAAAGTGCAAAGTAGAGAGCAACAAACATGACTGTTACCTTTAAATGCCGTATTAAGCATTTCAAGCTGAAGTATCAGAAGTTTCCAGGATTTCCAATAAGGCAATACCTACACAAGTATTGTCAGGCTATACATGTAGCAAACTTGCATTCCCAAAATGGGATAGTTGAGCTTATTTGTAATACTTCATGAAATGATGCCGTGAGCCAAACAAAACCTAATCGTGGAGTGTGAACTGCTACTAAAATGTCATCAGTAGCTATTTTTAACTGAATCCTCCAATCTCTCTTTCGGAAGAAGCAAAACAGATAAAACGCACACACTAACATTAAAACTTACTCCAAAGAAAAGCCAACCTAGCATTCCAGCCTAGCACCTTTGAGTAATTCCAACAATGGTTATTGGCCACATATTCCAAAGCAGGTTATCTGAGGACACCATCTTATATATTCTTTTTCATTACATGATTACATTCCCTTTTTGTAATTATGTTATTGTAGTAAACCTTATAGGGTTACTATTTGAGAATTCATTTTTCCTTTGACAGAAGGCTCACAAACTACAATGATGACATGGTCTAACAACCCTATAAAAGGGAAAGAAAAAAAGATTAGTTTATATAGTGAAAATACTATCAAGGCAAAGTTTTGTAGGGTGGGTAGATAAACTCTTACCACATGACATAAAATCCACCAATAAAACTCAATGTGGAATGTGGGCTTGCTTTTCTGTAGCTAGGTGTCTTTTCAAACACTTGATGCTGCCAGTGTGGACACAGGCGTTCAGGCCCATCCACAAGACCACTCATTTTTCCTTTTTGAAATTCTGTCACAGCATTGGCAGCTTCTTTAGTATCAGCATTAGTTCTAGAATGTGGAAGTCTGCATTAATGACTACTAAATGGACAACCTGAATTTCCAGCACGATCTTCGTGTGAAAGGAAGGCTGGCAGCATATGCACTTTTGGCTGTTTCTGGGCTCTCTGCATTATCAATCATCCCCAAATCCACACTGGCCATTGAAAACTTTCTAAAGAACATTTTTTTCCCAAGCAGATAAAACAGTACTAATAAAAGAGACAGCTGCCCCCTTATGAGAAAGATACCCAATTTATCTTGAAAATGTAAAAACATGAACTGAAACATTATAAAGGAAGATGCACTGAAAAATTCTTTCATAAACCCCATTAATTTCTTTCAGACAGCCCTAACAACACTCTCATCTCCATCTCTCAAACTTAACAGCTTTGCAGTTCTGACACTGTCTACATTCAGAGTACCAATCTGAGACCAGTACGGCTCACACTCATACTGAAAATCCATAACCTGTGCTGAATTTATTAACTTTGAGAGGAATGGAGATACACAAGGTGATGTACCTGTTATATAAAAATAATCCCAAAAGATGGACTTTAAATTCTATCCAAGGCTGTCAACTCAGGCTCAACTTGGCACCATCAAGACAAAAAAGATGACAAAATAGAGGAAAAGGAGCTTCCCCCTTGATATTTCAGCTAACTGTATTTTGTGAAGTTTACTAAGTTCTGGGTGATAAAGTGAACAAGACCTGCTTTCATATAATCTCAACATAATGTGCAACATGGTACAAAGTATGATAGAAAATTTCTTACATAACATGGTTTTACCTTGGTCCACTGTAATACAGAATTAAACAATGACCAAAAAAAGCAGCTATAATTCTTAGAAGAAACAGAATCTAAAATTTTTATGTATACACACGAAGGTTTATATATGAAGGCCTTGGCTGAAAAATGTCTTGAGTTTGTGTGTGCTCTATTTGGTAAAGATAATGGAGAAATGGGAAAAAATATGGCCATGTTTAATTTTGTAGTTAATCTTTAAGGCACAAAATAAATGTAAAAAAAAAAAAAAAAAAGATTAGAAAAGGGAAGAGCTACTGCAGATCTTAGTTTACTAATTAAAAAGCTAGAAAAAGAAATATAAGATGAATAGATATCCTCTGCTGTGTTCAAATTAGCCTACTTAACTATTGGCTTTTTTCTTTGGATTTTTTTTTTTAGATTCTGCTTAAATCATGACCCTACACATCCTTTAGCAGTAAAATCATGCTAGTTATATACCTCAGATCCTGTGATCCACTTACTTCACACTGGAAGAAAGGTAAATTTGAGCATGAAAATGGGAAACTCCATTGCAATAAACACATAAACAGAGAAAAAACACAGAACACCAACACATATTCCCCAACTTCAAAACTAAAGCAAGGTACACATTTACATCTCGAAACCCTGAAGCTTGAATTGTCCGGGAAGATTCTTGCTTTATGGGCTGAGTTTATTTCACTTCTGGTTATAAACAAATGTAGTGTATACATACATCTGTCCAGGAAGTCTTGCACAATGTGGATTTTACATTGGGTATCATGCACAAGATTAAAAACAAGACCAAAACAAAAAAAACCAAAACAAACAAACAAAAAAAACACAGGAGAGAGAAAGGCTCCAAGGTTTAACTGCTCTGGGAAGAAGAGATCACATCCGTTGACTGTGGATCACAGAATGGTCCGAAGCGTCCATAAATGTCCTTGGCTCGTACTGCGAAGTAGTACTTGCTGCCAGAGACAAACTGGGTCAGAGTGCATGCCATGGGCAAGGGAAGTGCTTTCACCTCCCCGATCTTTTTCCACTGGGAGGGCACGGTGGCACTGGGCTCCTCGTGGTAAGCGTAGAGATGGTAGCTGTCCACAGTGGCACAGCTGCGATCCACCTCCAGGACACTCCACGACAGCACGATGCCATTCTGACTCTGAACCCGGGCTAGCTTCAAGTGTGGCTTCTGAGGCAGAGATGTGCTGGCAGCTTCTGGGGGCAGACGCTGTGGCTGTGGGGCTTCTGGTAAGGGTGCTGGGTGCACAGGTCGTGGGGGCTCCTAACAAAAGATTTACAACGGGCACAGAAAGAACTAGGTTAGCATGCTAGAATTCAGACAACTTAGTGATCATAAAAACAGATCTTGAATTCTTACAAATACCATACCTAATTTGACAGCCTGTCTGGTGATCTATAATCAATCATGCCCCAAACAACTGGCTATATACACTCCTACTGTACTTCCCAGATCTGTTCTGCCACGTACACAGTAGCAAATCTGCATAAATATAACTACATTTAATATTCAGAGTGCATAATAGTCTTGCAAGGAAAAATGATTTTGAATTGGACAGTAAAGACTTCATACGCTGCAAAGATAGTTCCACATCTTTCAGTCAATACATAAGGCATAAGCAAAGGCAATGGGCTATGAAAGCGAGGGGACTTGGAGCAAACGGCAGCGGGACTTCTTCCCGGAGTCTGAGGTATCTTTGGAAAGACAGGTTATGCGGCTCAGTTACGGACAGGCCCGCCAGCCGCCATGGGAAGCTCCAGTGACTCGAGCAACACGATATCCTCACAACTACTACCATGAAATTATCAACATTAAACCCAAGTAAACACCTGATAAAGATAATTTCTTCAGAAAAGAGATTTGAAAGTTAGAGACATCAGTATTTTTTAGAGAGGAACACGTCACTCATCGACTTCATACAGTAAGTTCTAAAACAAGAAGTCTTTAAGTGAAATTCATTTAACAAAAAAAAAATCAAACAAAAAAAGTTCTAACATGTTTGCTACTAAGGAGATGATGTTTATAAACTAAGCAGTGAATTCTGTAAGGGTCTGATGACACATTTTTAAAACTCTGGGCTTTCCTAACGCTCAGCACCAGTGATCTGCATAGTAAAAAAACACAAAGAATACACCTCATAATCTGGTAATAAAGTGATTATACCTAGTTGAAAAAAAATCCTATGCATGTCTGAAAAAGGGTACAATCCACTATCAATAAGCAAAAAAGTAAAATTACAAAAAAAAAACTATTTAGATAAGACACTGAAAGGTAAACTATGACTAATATGAATATTGGTCAGGGTATTGTGTTCTTGCTCAAATTATTTTTCCCTAAAATGACTTAGTTAACTTAAGTAACTAACATTAAATAATCATATAGCTACAATGTCTAAGACAGGCTGGGTAAGCAATGAACTTCAGAGTGGAGGGAGTGCAGGAGATCAAAGATCAATTTTGTTGAATAAACTTCTGCTGAAAAACAGATCTATCATTTCCTTCAATATTACAAAGTACTGCGACACGGCCAGCGTCGCAGGTGCACAGCCCGCGGGGCCAAGCAGCAGTCCTTACGGTATGCACTTGCGGCGGCCGGTGATGCACTGTGAGCTGAGGCCCTGTAGATCCCAGGGTCAGTCCACTGTTGACAACGTAGGTGGTGGTTTGAGGCACTCGAACTGTAACACCTACAAGAGAAAATCAGGATCAGACATCAGAATTTCCCTGTAACTTTGGTGCGATGCTGTTTAAACACTTGAAGGTAGTGGTCTGAAAATTTACAAAGGGAGATGTTTCTACCACAGAGGTCCAAACAATCTTTTGGGCATTAGGACAAAGACCTTTCCACAAACGCAAGCACTTAGAAAATCTCCACCCTTCCTCAAGCATCTCTAAGGATGTGTTATCAGTAAGGAAAGAGGAAGGAAGTAAAACAAAATCTAGTAGGTATAAGAAATGGGAGATTCAGCACAGAGGGAGCGATGGATGGTGCCAGGAACAGAAACATTCAGACCACGGGTCGTGCACCGCATGGAGCAAACAGGCCAAAATGAACAATGAGACTCCGGAGAGGCAAACTGAGGCTGTCTCCACCAAGATCCCTGGCATCTCAAGTGCTCAACCAAGACACAAAGTTCAGGTACGTCACCTTCCCTGTGCCCCTCTCCCCCGCCCCCACACCTTTCTGATCAGCTGAGAATATTCTCTTCTCCTTAGAGGAAGCTGTTAGGACATACACCAGTGCAAATCAGGCAGGAAATGTACTGGCATCCACTGCCTTATGTTCCTTCCTTGTATTGTATGACAGGTGCATACTACAGCTCTTCTGGGTGACAATGGGGAACCTCGTTTCCCAGAACTCATTCATGACGGGTTACTATTCCCGAGAAAGCATTTGTAGAACTGAGTAAGTTGAAGCCAACCTTGATCCTGAGATGCTATTTTCTCCAGAAAAACTATCACCTAATAGTGTCATTATTGCAGTTTTTAGAAAATAGAGATTTATCCTTGCCATTTTAATTTCAAAGTTAAGTTATACACATATAAGTATACACATACAAACATTCCATAATATTATAATATTAGGGATACCTATACTGGTAGAAACACAAAACCAGAACCATTAATAGAGAAGTCGGGATGGTGTCACCTCTGATGCAAAGGGAAAGAGAGCTACAGACGGGGCGTGCAGGAGCACAGGCAGAAGACTGACAAGGTTCTATTTCTTTACCTGGTAGAACAGTTAATTTTATTATTTTTCTTTAAGTGTTAAATACCTTCTTCATGTATGAACTTTTGTATAAAGGATACACATGTATTCCACAACCAATATTTAACAGCTACCTACACACTTCCCTTGTGACTAGTGACTGCTATATCATATGTAGGGGAAACCACATGTTTCCTTTGTATGTTCTCTTCTTTTCAGTAATCTTTCTTAATTCTAAGCTGCTCTCTCAAAAGAGGTTTTCCTTGTCCATGATTTCTATTCCCAGTCACATTTGATCATTCTCAATCAGGCATTTCTTCTAACTAGAAAATAACCATGTTATACACAGCTTTCTTACAGTTTTAAGTTTTCATATGCTCCTATCAGCACTTCTTGTAAGATCTACTATCAATACAAGCCATTTCAATTCAATGCTAAACAGGTGTACACACATTTTAGGCCATAGATCAGAAAAAGAAGTGTCTCTTACTAGTTTGGGGATTGAGCTGCCTAACAGCAGGAGCCTGCACAACAGCTCCTCGCAGAGGGGCCTGAGCTGGTGGGGCTGGAATTGTAGTATAAACCACTTGATGGTTTCCAGGAGCTCTTGGTACTGGGAGTCTTGTGGTCACCTGAGTTGCTGGACGATGTGTTACATTCACGGTGGTTGGAGCTAGAAGGCAAGAAAAGACATTAAAAATGCAGAAAATCCAGGTTAAGCAAACAGTGATAAATTGTAATTATATTTGCATAAAATCTAATGAACTATAATAAAGAGATAAGTACTTTCCTATTGTAATCTTACAAGATAAAAAGGTGACCATCAACCAAAACTAGTAATATTAAAATCCAAGATTCAGAAAAAAACTTCAACCAATCCTCTTCCCATGCTGTCCAGATAATAAGCATGTAAACATTTTTAAAAAGTGTCTGAAAGTATAATACTGTAAGAGACATTTTCATTTGCTTTTTGAAGACCTACTAGCTTAGGGCTGGCACTGCAGCACAGTGGGCAAGCTACTGGCCCTAATGCCAGGTTCCCACTGAGCACGAGTTCAATTTCGGCTGTTCTGCTTTCAACTCAGTGCCCAACTAATGGCCTGCAGGCCAGAGCAGATCTGGATACAGCCCCTGGCTCCTGGCTGCAGCCTGGTCCCATCCTCACAGCTGTGCTCATCTGGGGAATAAAGAAGGAGACAGAAGACCTCTTAACCTCTCCCTCCTGTCACTCTGCCTTATTTATTTAAAACACAGAGTTACAGAGAAACAGAAGAGAGAGAGATCTTTCATCTACTGTTTTGCTCCTTCTTTAAAAAGAACTTATTCTAGAAGGAGCATTTATTTCTTTATTCCCATTCCATTCCATTATCACCGATGCCTATAGGTTTACATAATGACAATTCCTGCTAAAACAATTTAGATATAAATGAAAATAAAATAATAAAATATACACATACACATAACACCATCCCTAAGGCTGAACTTAGAAATAAGTAGCTTTTTAGAGAGAACTATATCTTCCTTGTTCTCTAAACAACTGAGGAGGTACAGAATACTTATAACTATGACTTACAGCATTTTGAAATATAGCAAGGAATTATTAGCCCAAACTTGCTCAGGGTGTTGCTGGGACAGCTGAAACTAATTCAAGACTGGTTTTAAAATCCTCCATCAGTCAAGGGTACCTTCTTAATGTGTACTCGGGACAAATCATTATACCCAGCCCTTGAGAGGAATTGGTTTCTGTTGGGTTTTGCAGAGGCAGACAGCAGATATATAAAGTCCAAGTCTTCTTTATAATCACTCCCTACCAGTGTTGCCACTGAAAATAGCAGTAATTTACAAAGTTGATCTGGGGTCCAGCAAGGTAGCCTAGAGCCTAAGTCCTCGCCTTGCATATTCCAGGATCCCATATGGGCGCCTGTTCAAGTCCTGGTGGCCCTACTTCCCATCTAGCTCCCTGCTTGTGGCCTGGGGAAGCAGTCGAGGATGGTCCAAGGCCTTGGGACCCTGCACCCATGAGGAGGACCCAGAAAAGGCTCCTGGCTTCAGATCAGCTCAGCTCCGGCCATCACGGCCCCCTGGGGAGTGAATCAGTGGACAGAAGATCTTCCCCTCTCTCTTCTCTCTGCATATCTGGCTTTCCAATAAAAACAAATAAATCTGCATTTAAAGGAATTGCAATGTTTTCAAAATAACAACTACATTATCTTTTTTTGTTATTGAATCCTTTCATTCCATTGTCAGAGTTTTCTGCAGGCCATACTAAAACCTCTGCTTAACATTTCAGAAAATTCACCTGTAGGTAGTAAGTGTATTGTGGTTTGAGATGGTCCACTCGTGGGCACCCCGGATGGCTGAAGAGGTGGCGCTGGCTGGATGGGCTGCAACGGCCTGGACAGAGGCGGGCAAGAACTCAGGGTGGACACAGGGGCATGACTCAGCTTCTTGGGTTCTGTCAATACAAATCCAGTATTATGATCAATGGTTTACAAAACATGTAGAAAATACAGATCTCCTCAAGTATTTTACTTTTGTTTATCACTTCAAAGTCAAGTTTACCTGTAAGAGAACAATTTCTGTTTAATCATGAATACTTCGAAAATCTAGTGAGGAGCTTATTTTACTATTGATTGCAGCAAAGATTTTAATTCATATTTATAGGAAACCAACATTTTATTGTCTTATAAAGAATCTTTCTTCCAGAATTATTGTATTTTTGTGTTAACTCAAATGATTTCTTTGTTTGGGACATTCTCCTAAACAAACACCTATAAATTAATGCAGCTTTCTGTCATCTTAAATTTCACTTACTCTTTAGGTTCCTGTTTGGTAATAAAATAGCCAAGCATTAATAAAATATATATAGAAAGGTAGTCTTGAAGAGAAAAAAAAAAAATAGAAAAAGAAAAAAGGTCTTCCATAGTCAATGAAATAAATGTTTACACTTCAGGGGAAAAGAACCCTTAAAAATAGGAAATCAGTGCATCTCGCAGGCCAAAAGCTCTTCTGCCTAAAACTACACCTGTCAACCTGGAATTCTTCACTAAAATGAAAGTGGAATTTAATGGTTTGGCAATTTTGCGCTGTTGAAAACAATATATTTCAGAATCAAAAAAATTGAGATGCCCCTCCAAAAGCAGAGAAATGGAAAGAAACCCTAGGAGGCAAAAGACACAAGAAAGGAAAATGAATGGCTAGAGCGCTGAAAACAAACTGTGCTTCCTCTTATTTTCAATCCAGAACCAATGCTATGTCCTCTCAAAAACAACCCCTGCTGACTTCTGTCCTCTAGGGATACATTATCATCAAATTTGCTCATAAAAATACTAAAGGCAACACAAATCATTTATAACTTCAACAGTGACGAAAGATGACATAAATCTCCCAGTTTTACACAACAAAATTAATTTTAGTGCCATCTAGCCAACTAAAAAGCCAGTTAATTTTTTTCCTAGAACATACTAGACTATCTTATGCTCTAAATATGGCTTCTTAAAACTTTTAATTTTCTAGAAATATGCTTTTAAAACAATTTAGCAACTGATCTACCAGATTTCTCAGACGCATTATCATCACGCTCTCGCAAATATGAATAGCTAGCTTGTACAGCCAAATAAGTTTGAAAAATATTTTACATCCTAAATCATTCTTAGAGATTTAAATTATAAAGTAGGACAGTAAAGGCTCAGAAAAGTCTGCCATTAACTGAAAAAAAAAAAAAAAAAATCAGTCAACTCAGCTTTTCCCAAGTATATTTAGTGACGGAACTTTAAAATTGATAATATGCTGAATGTCCAATTTATTTTCTAAATATTATAAAAGAATAATACTGAGGATCCTCGGTGCAATATCTTTTAAAATTACACTCATTTTCATTTAAATATTAAATTAAAAAATTTATGTCACATGACCAAAATTAAACATATACACACTTATAAGTGTCTATATTAAAATAGACACAGAAAGAGAAAAACATTTAATGCAGTCAGAAAATCTAGTTTTGGCTGCCAGGTCCCTTAATAGCCTCCCATCTCTAAAGCTAATGTTTGCTCAATTACAAAATACTATTATAGAAGGATCAAATGAAACAGATACAAAAATAGAGCCTCCCCATAAGCTAAATATTCTCCTAATTGCTTTTCCCTCAAGACCTTGTTCAACATGCAAGCACATCCATTAAGTCAAGACTTGGTTTCTATTTTTTAAATTTTCCTTTTAAAAATGCTCATGGGTGTACCCTTGCATCAAGCATGGTGCTACAGAGATCTGTCTACAAAGAAGATGGAACTGGATTAAGACAAAAAGTCAGCATCAGATTCTATGATTACTACTTCAGTACCTTGTGACACTGCACTCTCTTCGTCATCCATTGTGAGGTCAATCACACCACTTGAATCACTGCTCGTTGCTTTACCACTCTGAAAAACAAGACATCCGCATTGTGCAAAGACAATTCTGGCAGCTACAAAGAGAAAAGACACTGGAAGTGACAGTACACAAGACTGCTTCAAAATGGAGCCCTAAATTGCTTTGCCTAAACAAACAGCGTTTATTAAAATCTGTTTCTTACACTGTCCAGAACTTGCTCTTTCACTGCTTTTAGAAGAATTTGGTTTATTGTTGTTTTGTGCTTTTCCGCTTTAGCAGTTCCCTTAGAGGTAACTGTTTGTGTTAGCTGCTCAGACTATGCCTGGCAGTTCAGACATTGGCTGGAGGCAGCACAATGCTTTGATCTGCCTCAGATCTTCCAGGTCCATCTTTTTGAGAGGGTTTCACTGGTTTTCCCTAACCTGTACCTCCTTCCATTACCATGTAAAAGTAATGAGAACTATCTTGATCTTGGGGAAGAAGTCTTTGTCTTTCTGATAGCTTATTATCACACTGCCAATTTTGGTACTTCCATTTTAAATCTTTCCCTACCCAGTAATGTAGTTATCATTCTTTGCCCTGTTGTCTTCCCAATTCTTCTATATTGCGTTTTAGTGTAATAGATCTGTAACAGAGTCATTAGGCTGTTGGTAATTGTTTCCCTGCCTTTCTTCTTAAACAGTTTCAGATTTCAAAACAAGGGACTAGTGATATTAATCATTATGAAACAGACTTTAATAAATTTTCACTGTATTGACAGAAATCCATTCTCTTGTGGACTATAGTTTAAATTTTACTTTGAAATAAAGGGGAAAAAAAAACCCTTACCTGTGAGGTGCTATCAGCTGCCTTCTTATTAACAGAAGCTTCCATTATTTTGCTTGTCTGGTTTTCTGAGAAGTTTAAAAAAAAGTCATTTTTTTAAACATTCACAAAGATTTTGCTCTGTGTACAGGCATAGTGACTTAACACAGGCATTTTTTCCTTTATCAGCAACATTTCAGAACAAGACAGCTATCCACCTTTCCTGAGGGAAAGATTTCGGTAGTAATCTGAGTCCTGATTTACCAAGAGCCCCCTGGAGAATATCTACTATAAACAGAAAATACTGACTTGAAATCCATGAAGATACCCTCAACTATCACAACCCGCAGGCAGTTGGATTATTTAGAATATGTTCTTTTTAAGTAAAGGATATCTAATCTACATAAATACAAGGTTTGAAAAACTTTCAGTTAAATAATTCACTTATCACAGTAGGGGTGTATTAAAGTTTTGCTTCAATGTTTATATTCAGACACAGTTGTTTGGCATCAACTCAGATTCTGGGTTGACTGAGCAGTCAACGGCCTACATTAAAGCCACTTATAGTCTCCCTGAAATTACGCATAACCAACGATCTCTTAAAAGATCTCAACCTAAAGAGTATTATAAAAGCAAACATATAAAGCTTGGCCATCATTCAATATCTAACCATTCATTTTTTAAGCATAGGTCAGAATTTCAAGGGATATGAATATAAACATATTTATATTTTTGTAAAGTTCTACATTTAGGAATAGAGCTCATACATGAAAAACAACAAACCTTTATCTCAAAATAAGACCAAACACTACAATGTCACATAAAACAATGTCAGTCATAAATTATGAAACTGTGAAAATATTGTGAATGAATTAAAGAAATCAGAAGAAGAATGAAATATTCCTTCTAAAATCTTATCTATGTAAGCACCTAATTATCTATCCTACAGATAATAGTTTTCTTTTCTTTAATGAAGATTTATTTTATTTGAAAGGCAGTTACACAAACAGCAAGGGAGAGGCAGAGCGAAGGATATTCCTCCCACTGGTTCACTCCCCAAATGACTGCCATGGCTAGAGCTGAGCTAGGAATGCCAGGCTGGGCTCCACATGGGTGGCAAGGGCTGGCTCAAGCACTTGGGCCATTTTCCATAGCTTTTCTAGGTACACTGGCAGCAAGGTGGATTGGGAGTGGAGCTGTCAGGACATGAATCAGTCTTCAATAGGATGCTGGCATCACAGATGGCAGTTTACACACTTGGCCTAGTAATTCCACTTTCCCATAGAATGTCAGTTAATGCTCATATCCCAGATATTCACTGTATATGAACAGTATACAGCTTTAGTCCAATATTAATTTTCCTCTGCCACTCATCTACTTTAAGAATTTTATGAAATAATATCCCCATTTTACTCAAGAAAATGCACTTAGTAAATTCATTACTAATGGAGTTCTTGTAATTATGTATATCAGAATCTATTTCTCAGATTTTAAGGTCTCTTCTCATATCAACAATAGTTTTGTTTCATAATACACATAATGACTACCGCTCTTGGTCATTTTTCCCAAAGTAGTGATAGATAACTGGGCTCAAGTAAAAACTGAACAATAAGCAAGTTCGAGAATTCATATGATATATACAATTTCAAGGTGGGGTTTTGTCAGAGTTTGAATATACATACGATTACAATCCCAACATAACCATAAAGTACACCCTAAGAAGGGTGAGCATTTGGTGTAGCTGTCAAGATGACATGTGCCGGGTGGGATTGCTCAGGTCTGAGCCCCACACTGGCTGCAGACCCTGGGAGGGTCACACAGAAGAAAGGATGTGAATGCCCAGGTCCTGCTGCGGGGCCCCTGCAGGCATCTGGGAGTGAAACAGCTCATGGGGACTCTCAAAACACACACAAAAATCCATACACACATCTGTCAATGTGTGCATGTGACTGTATCTGTCTAAATAAAGCAGAGAAAAAAACAAAAAGGAACCAAACATTAAATAGTAAAACTGGAGGCAAGACCCTAAAATTGTTCTAATTAGAAGCTATGATAACTTGATACAAAAACAATTTTCCCAGATGAGTACAAAAGAGAGGTAAATAGCTCTTACTATTCTCTTACAAGCATATATCAATTACCTACTTAGAGGTCTATTTGTTCTATTTATATAGTCCTGGCAAATAAATCATGAAAGTAATTTATAATGCTGGCTACAGAGCCTAAATTAAAAATATAACTAAGAAAATTACTGAAATATAAATGGTAACATCTCAAACATTTTCAAATCCCATTCTAACAACTATTTTTCTTAGCTAGAAAACCATTAAAACTCAAGAAAATTCTATTTTTGACTCTGTTCTTCCACTAATGCTAGCCACATCCAAACGTTCAAGAATTTAAAACTCATAAACATGCTTGCATTTCTATTACTAAACTACACATGACTTACCAACTCTTGGGGCAGTAGTGCTGCTCTGTTCTGCAGGAGATGAAGTACTAAAAGCCGAAATTGGTATTTTCATCTGTATAGGACCTCGATTGTTGGATGGATTATAAAGTCCTGACGGTCCCACAGCGGGTAATGAAGTCCTTGTGGCTTGTACAATAGAGTGTGCTGTTGGCACAGCCTGCACAGCAAGCGTTGTCCCTAGTGGTGCAGCACTGGCAGGAGAGTTCCTTTGAATACTAGGACTGGGTACAGACGCAATATTGTTTGGTTTTGTGGGATTTGGCAAGGATGGCAGGGATACTGGATTTTTGGTAAGACCACTCACTGTAGGTGGGCTCTGCACAGAAATGAATTCAACGTTGCCCGATGGTTGATTGGTCACTAAAGTCCCCGTGTGGCTCTGCAGGAGCTGAGGCTGGGAGGACACCGCCACAGGAACATGCAGAATCACTGGCAAAGATTGTAAAGAGATTGTAGGCTGAGGATTTCCACTAGGCACCTGAGTAGAAGCAACAACTGTAGCTGTATTGGGTGCAGGAAGAACTGAATTTGCAGTCAGAGAACCCGAAGTTGCTGGAGTCTGCAGTTTAGGTTGACTACTGACAACTGTTGGCGGAGTGACGAGGTTGCTTGAAGATACTGCAGAAGAAAATAGTCTACAGTTAAAGGATGACCTTATTAGTTAAGATACTATGATACATACAAACCCAATGTTTAGGCATAGCAGCTTTTCAAAATGACTTTTTTTTTTCCCCCTAAATTCAGGTTCTGAAAATTCTCTAAAGTATTACAAATGTATGTTTGGGAAAAAATGTAAATAGCATATGATTTATGATTACTGTCTCAAGATCACAAGTCGCTCAAATGAATTACTCCAGAGTACTAGGAAAACACCTTTGAAAAACAGCCAAGCAAAAACATATAAAAACGCATATTTTTACAACAGGACTGTAAAATATTCTAAATGTTATAAATAAACACCACCAATACATAAATGCAAAAAACTCTGTTATAAAAAAAATCCCTACTTGTGGACCAAGTTTTATTGAATTCAATGGGAGAGGAAGTAAAGAAGAAAAGCTTCCTTTAATGTTACCATGATACAAAAAATAGCACTAAGCAAGGAAGGAAGATGAACTGAGAACATATACCAAAGTACAGAAAAATTCAAAATTTTTGCTACTAGAGTTTTATAGTAATTTGGATGCAATTATTTTAGTGTTTATTCCTGGAACAGGTTTGAAACAGAATTAAATTTATTCCTGATTCATTTTAAGGTTTTTCCCAAATCAGTTATGCTAAAGCAGCAATTCGCAAAGTGTGATTCTGGGGACATGTGGAGTTTCTCTGAGGCCATGCCAAAATTATTTTCAGAGTAGTAATCACAAAACAGTATGTGACCTATTCACTGTGTGGACACTTGGCACTCAGGGGACAAAAGCAACGAAGAGTAAATCTGCTAATGCCTTAGCACTGATCTGTGGGGGATAGTTCAAGCCATCGCTGGATGCCTGTGACCTTTCATGGTTTACAGCACTCTGCATACTACGGTTTTTCATATCTACTCATTGTTAAGGGATATCACTACTGTGTGACGCTCAAAGAACATGTACTTACATAATCCTTCAAGGCAAAGGCCACTCACTCTACTGGCCTGTGACACACGAGGTCCATGGGGCTGCTGCTGGCCTAACATGGCATACCATTTTAAAGCAAATTTTGTTTTACAATTACACTTGATTACTGCAACAGCTGTGCAACTTTTCAGTTCCATCAGAAGTGGGATGGGATTACTGTCACCCTTTGTTGGCCAAAACCTCACCATCACACGTGGCTAGATACACACACCTATGAGTTAACTGTAACTAACTCAACGGCACACAAAGAAAATGATGAAGTGCTTATTACTGTAACTTGATATTAATATTATACCATTATAATATTATAATATTATTAATAATGTTATCAGACCATGGTTGATCACAGGTAAATTATCCTGGAGACCAGCAGATGGGGGGTGGGGTGGGAGAAGACTAGTATACAAGCATGAGTGTTCCATGCTCAAAGTAAAATGGTCATTTTCACTTTAAAATACCCATGATGAAGCATTAAAAAAAAAGAACTGTTAATTGTATTGCATCTCTATCCTTGAGTAAAGGCTCTGAATATTCTGGTAAGGAAACACACAGTACATGGAAAACAATATTGTTGCCATGACAAGTCGGATGGTTGGTATGCAACTCAGTTTTACATTCAACCAGCAGCCTTTTCATCATGGAAAATCTTGTATTTTCTTGGAAAGAATGACTTTTAAAAAGAATGAATGAGAAAATTTCATTACTATAGTTCCAATTCCATTTTGCAAAAACCTTAAAGAAACTACTGCACACCAGTATCAAAGAGTATCCACAATTCTCTAAAAACAGCTGGATCTCTCACATCTACCTATGTGGCACTTTAAAAAACCCGAAGCCCATGGAGTAACTGAATTAAAGAGAGAGGTTTAGCATGTTGCAAATAAGTTTGAGATCAACGCATAATTTTTCATAACATGCATTTCCCATGAACTTCAATTTTACATGAGACTGGATTTCTTTCATAAACTTCACCAAACCAGCACATCAGAAAAGAGTCAACACAGATATAAATATGAGAATCCAGTTAATTTCAGCATTTTTAACATGCTAAGCAAAACATTAGGGATGTGAGCAAATACAAAACAATGACACTCTCTACACTGACATCTTCAATTTTGGAAAATAGTTATTTTTTATTAAAAAAAAAAAAAGGGAGGCTCTTAAAGGTACAAATTTTGAGTTTACTAGTTTTAAATAAATAACCATTTCAAAAATTTGTTTTGATTTCTATTTGCTTTCAACTCATAGTAAATCTTACTGTGAGCAATGGTTCTTTGGGATTCTGAGTGATCTGTTAAGATTACAAAGGGATTAAAAGACCAAGGTTTGAGAAGTACTGCCACACTAGTGAAGTGTGTGTCAGATAAATCGTATCAGATTTTTTTTTAATGCTGTTTTTAGGGCCTGGCAGCGTGGCTTAGCAGCTAAAGTCCTTGCCTTGAATGCACTGGGATCCCATATGGGCACCGGTTCTAATCCCGGCCGCTCCACTTCCCATCCAGCTCCCTGCTTGTGGCCTGGGAAAGCAGTGGAGGACGGCCCAAAGCCTTGGGAGCCTGCACCTGTGTGGGAGACCCGGAAGAGGCTCCTGGCTTCAGATTGGCACAACACCGGTCGTTGCAGGCGCATGGGGAGTGAATCATCGGACGGAAGATCTTCCTCTCTGTCTCTCCTCCTCTCTGTATATCTGACTTTGTAATGAAAATAAACTAAATCTTTAAAAAAAAATGCTGTTTTTAGACTGACAGGCCATATTGTTTAATCATTTCAACGTCAAACACATGTAAGAAAAGCCTTTACCACCTAGCATAATGCATTGGGTGTCAAATATATACACATACATATATATATCATTACCTGAATTCACAGGAGCTTGAAAAGATGGTGGTGCACTCTCACTTGCATTTCTCTTGGACTCCAGCATCTGTCTCACTGTGCTCGCATTCCTATAAAACACAGATTCAATACTCAATATTTTTGGTATTCTGGAGGACACTGATATACACAGAAAACACAGTGACCCACAAAACTACAAGCAAATATACCGTGTCCTCAGCTAGCAGAGACATGCTATTAGGGTAGAGTCTTCCACTTACACTTAATATTTAAAGAATAAATATAGGTCTTAATATACACAGAGACATTAAGCTTTCTCGTCCTTCAATAAAGCATTTCTCAATTCCTTGAAAGAACACTACTTACAAGTTGTCTAAACAAACAAAAAAGCCTTGAAATAAATGAACAAAGGTAGTATCAAGAGGGACAAAAGAGAATGTAACAAAGCAGAGAAAGGAGACATACTTGATCCAGTATGCCAAACATTTACTTCTACATAAATATATTCAAACAATTTTCTACCAAGTAAAATCCGAGCCTTGTTCTATTATTTAACAAACAGACACAGTATCTAGAATTGTCACCTGTAGGGCATATTATTATTGCTGTTGGCATCATTTGCAGACTTTCCTGGTGAGACGGGTGGATTTGGTGGATTCTGGAGGGGGAGAAATACCAAGGTAAAAACAGAATCCAGTATACAGGAAACCTTTAAAAAATGTTAAGATTTTTAAATAGTCAATGTATAATCAATCTCTTCCTTCTGTAATACATGGAAAGTAATATTATCTAAGATCAAATAAAATATAGAATGTGAAAAGTGGCTCATATTTTAATGGCTCAAGAAACACTATTAATAACTAAAGAATAATTAGACTTAATCAATAAATAGCTATTGCCAGAAATTTAACAAAAGAGCAAAGTGGTACTCAATATCACAACTCAAAGGTCTCAAATTAGTATTATTCTTAGTGTCTCTGTTTAAATATTTCAGCATAATGGTCTCTTTAAGGTCATTTATGTATTTATTTATTTTAAAATAGAACGAATGAGTTAGTGTATGAGAGAAAGACATCTTCCATCTACCATTTCATTTCCCAAATTCCTGCAAAGCCAGGGTTGTGCCTGACCAAATCCAGGGACCAGGAACTCCACGAGTCTCCTCTGGATGGCAGGGACCAAAATCCTTTAATTAACACTTGCTATCTTTCCAGGAAGCTGGATCAGAATCAGAAAAGAGACTCAATTCTAGGCACTCCAAAACAGGATGTAGTTTTAGTTTTATGTTCTTAATTTCCAAAGTTGGAGACAGCAGAGACACAGAGGGAGAGGGTTCACTCTCCAATGGGAGCAACAGCCAGGGCGGGGCCAGGCAAGAGGCAGGGGCCAGCTCCATCCAGATGCCAGATGGGTGGCAGGAGCCAACTCCATCCAGATGCCAGATGGGTGGCAGGAGCCAACTCCATCCAGAAGCCAGATGGGTGGCAGGAATGCAAGCACCTGAGCCATCAGCAGGGTGCTGAATCAGAACTGGAGAAGCTGACACACAAACTAGCATTCTGATATGGGACATGGGCACTCATGCAGCAGGTAAACCAGCTGTACCACAACGCCTCCCAATCCTTGGCACACAAGATGGAATCCTAACATCTACCTATAAATTGCCATTACTTAGTTCCCATCATTAATGCCACCACCACCATTCAATTCTTTTTTACTGGAAAGGCAGATTTACAGAGAAGAGAGACAGAAAGATCTTCCATCTGCAGATTCACTCCCAAGTAGCTGCAACAGCTGGAACTGAGCCAATATGAAGCCAGGAACCGGGAACTTCTTCTGGGTCTCCCGTACGGGCGCAGGGTTACAAGGCTTTGGTTCTATATGATTAACGCTGTCAGCAAAGCATAGTTACAACTTTGTTTTCTGTATACTCCAAGAAGAACAGAGAAAATACACAAAGGAAATTAAGAGAAACAAAACACGTGACTCTAAAAAACAGCCACAAAGCATAGAGAAAGCAGCAAGGTGGCATCATTAAGTACTCCTAATCAGTAATTATTTAAACGGTAAATGGAACAAACTGTTCCACAAATACATGGATGGGCTTAGCCTATTTTTCAGTTTTTAAAAACACTTATACTTTATTTTACTTGAAGGGCAAAAGGACACTGAAAGAATGCCAGGGAGAAGAGAGATCATTCATCTATGAATCATTACCAAATGCCTCAACAGCCAGGGCCTGGACAGGCAAAGCCAGGCCGGGCCCAGACTTCAAGTCTTGCTAAGGACCCTAATGCTTGGGCCATCATCTGCTGCCTTGCAGAGGTGTACCCTGGCATGAAGTTGCACTAGAAGAAGAAGCAGGCCACAAAGCAAATGCTACAGTATGGGATGCTGGAATCCTGAAGATACTTACACAAGCAAGAGGCAAGTCACCAAATGTAAGGATCAGCCAAACACAACAGTAATGAAAGCAGCAAGAGATACAACAGAAAAACAGACTCTAATGTCTCCACTTTCAATAAGAAATAGAACTTTTAGAGTAGAAAAACTTTTTCTGCCAGAGGCTAGTTGGATATTTATGAAATCATTCACAGGCCATATAAAAGTATGTATTTCAAAATTAGCCTGTTTTTGATTGATTGAATTTTGAGCCCTACCTGCAGGTGCTGCAACACAGCCAGATCAAATGATTCTGTAGGCCTTGAGGCCAGATTTTCCTAAACCCTGACCTAAGAATAGTAAAAAAAAAAAAAAAAGAAAAGAAAAAGAAACCTCCACAGAACTAGAGCTGATCTAGACCTAACAGGCATACATAGAACAGTCTATCAAAGAACAGAAATAATTTCTAATCAAATGCACACGGGACACAATAATCAGTACATCACATACTAAATAACAAACTTAAGAAAATGGTCATCTTCATTCACAGGAATGAAAAAAGTTGAAAACAAGAAAAACAGGAAAAGTTCCAATTGCATGGAAATTCAACAACATAATCTAAAAAAATTGATCAAAGGAAAAAAAATCACAAGTTAAATTAGAAACTATCATGACACAAATGAGAATGCAAACAGAACAAACCAAAATGTAAGTGAAAGCCATGAAGCTTAGACCAATAAATACTTCCCTTACAAGAAAAAAAAAAATCAAGCAAACAATCCAATATTACAGTGTAAAAACAAAAACACCTCAATTTTATTTTTATTGGAAAGGCAGATTCAGAGAGAGGAGGAGAGACAGAGAGAAAGATCTTCCATCTGCTGGTACACTCCCAAAGCAGGAGCCAGGAGCTCTTCCGGTCTCCCATATGGGTGCAGGGTCCCAAGGCTTTGGGCCGTCCTCGACTGCTTTCTCAGGCCACAAGCAGGAAGCTAGATGGGAAGCAGGGCACCTGGGACTTGGACCAGCACCCATATGGGATCCCAGCGGATGTAAGGCAAGGACATTAGCCACTAGGCTACCGGGCCAGGCCCCCAACATTGCATTTCACAGAGGCAGAGTCAAGATGGCCCAAGTATTGGGTCCTGCCACCCAAATGGTAGACTTGGAAGAATTCCCTGTCTCCTGTCTGGCCTGAACAGCCCTTGCCATTGTCAAGTCGGGTCTCTAACACTTTCAAATAAACAAATATCACTTTTACAAATGTTTAGAAAAGAACAAATTAAACCTGAAGTTAACAGTGAGAAATAAATGATGAAGATGAGTGTAAAAACAGAAAAACGAAAAACAAAACTGACAAAACCTTAGGAGTGAAAAATGAAAACAGATGATTCAAATAAAATAAAAAATGAAAAAGGAAATGCAAACTTAACATAGAAATAGGAAAGCACTAAAAAGACTACAATGAACTGTGTATCAGCAGATTGAATAAACCAACAGTGCATAACTTCCTAAAAGTAAATCAAGACAGAAACATAAAGAAATAAAACCACAACAAAACTATAACTATTAAAAAGATTTAAGCAGCAATAAAACTGTTAACAAAGCAGAGGTCTAGACTGCTCCACCGGAGAATTCTACCAAACATTTAAATTAATACCAATTTTCTACAAACTCCTCCAAAAAGAGGAAACAATTTCAAACTCACACAGTGAGGCCAGTATTACCCCAACACCAAGACCAGATAACACACCAGAAGCCAAGCACAGGAGTAGTGCTGGTAAAATGTTAATGGAAAATCTGCAAGCAGCTGCTGGCCCTGTGGCTCACTGCTCCCAGTCCTGGCTGCTCCCCTTCTGATCCACTTTCCTACCAGGGCACCTGAAAGAACACGCTCCCAGCCCAGGGGTTGGTCCTCCTGCAGTCCCATGGGAGACATGCATGGCTCCGACTCTCGACCACAACTGCCTAGAGCACAACTAATGCGACAAAGGACTGAACCAGGTTTTAAACAAAAATCCTTAAGTGAATATGAACTGAATCCACAGAAAGCTTTAAAGACTGCACAACGAAAAGATCTATGGATACAAGAATAGTTTAAAAGATGAAAATCAATCAAAGGAACATAAATAGTAGGAAGGACAAAATCCTTACAATCATTTCAATCGACAGAAAATGAGTTTGATAAAACTCAACAGTCCTTTCTTTCCTATACAAACACTCGTTCATGCTGAATGACGAAAGCCAGCTCCGTCCCACAAAGGCCACCTAAAGGCCACCAACGCCGAGCCCGTCGGTAATGACCTACTCCAGGATCACACACACGCCCTTCCTCCTCCATCAGGATCCCGCCCGCCCACGCACACGCGTGTTCGTGCCTGCCATTTCTATGCAGTATGGCACCGGCTGTACCAGGAAACACCAGGCAAAAAGTACAGCTGGCTGAACAGCACTGCAAGCAGCAGGCAGAATAACATCATCATTCAAGCCTGTGTGCACAGAACTCTCCGGCCGACACACACACACAGCGCCAGCAAAGTGGCGGGATATAAAACCAAACTCTAGCAGCCAGCTGCATTCCTACACACTTAGCAATACTATGAAGAAGGAGACATTGAGAGCAACACGATACTTAGGTGTGAGTTCACAAAAGGAAGGAAAAAAGGACTGTACAGTGTGCCCACTGGCTGCTCTCCGGCACCGACGCCGTCTCCGCATGGCCGGTGGCGCCTGGCCGGGGTCCTCGCTCGGCCTCCTCAGCCACCAAGGCCACAGCTGCTCCAGCTGCTGTTGCCGCCATGGCTGCCGCTGCCGCTGCCTCCCTGGTTGCTGCACAGCGGTCGGCAGCTGCTGAGCCCAGTCCTCCCGGTCCATCTTGCTGGGAGCCGCGGCCGCACCACCACGTGCCAGGCACAACACCGGGGAGAGGGGAGAGACCCAAGACACGCCCTCGGCCGGCAGGAAAAGGAACAAGGGGACCAGGTAGAACAGGAAAGGCAAAGGCGTGGCCAGAAAGATGAGGAAGGGGGCTGGGGGAAGGGGGCGGGGAAGGGGACAAGAAAGGGGGCTGGGGGAAGGGGGCGGAGAAGGAGGATGGGGGAAGGGGACAAGGAAGGGGACAAGGAAGGGGACAAGGAAGGGGGCTGGGGGAAGGGGGCGGAGAAGGGGGATGGGGGAAGGGGACAAGGAAGGGGGCTGGGGGAGGAGACTGGAGATGAAAGTGGGGAGACGGGCACTGGGTTCAAGCTATAGATGACAACGAAAACGATGACTACCACGCTGGAGCTCAGCACTGCCCAGGATGGCAGCCTGGCGAAAAGGAAGTTAATGCGAAAAGAGTAGGAGGAAAGGGGCGGCCGTGACCTCCCCACGCTCCGCCCCCAGTCTCAGGGCCTCTCGGGCCGGGCTCCCCAGGAGACCTAACCCGCCTTCCGCCCGCAAGCCTGCAGACCACGTACGCTCGTGCGTCCTGCTTCACGGCAAGGACCAATAGGACAGGTCTTAACCAACAATAAACTGGAGTTTTATTTTCCTATGTTAAAAAATTTTTTTGAAACCTTAGCAATGCAAATTAGCAAAACTTGAAAAATTCGAAAGACACAATGGAAAAGTATATAGTGTTCAGAGAAAACAATATTGTCTAAATATCTATGCTAACAAAGAATTCTTCATATAGAGAATCCGAAGGGATCCAGAAGTGCCCCAAGAATATTAAAATTGAAGAGGAAATTTAAGGCAATAATCTCACAATCCAACCCTGTAAGTCATAGTAACTGCGTAACAGCTGACTATATGGGGAGCAAAGATAAAAATACTACACAGTAATACTAACAAAATTTAGTAATATTAAAATACCTTGAGAAAAATTATAAGAGACTAAAAAAAGGCAAGAATGTAGAAAGGAACAAGGTAAGACAAATCCCCAAAACATAATTTCAAGGATAGAAGACACAGCATCAAGAATGTCATCTCCTGGGGTAATACTTGCTGGAGCAGTTAAGACTCAACTCTTGTGTCCTGGAGTGCCAGGGCTTGAGCTTCAGCTCCACTTCTGACTCTAGCTTCCTGCTAATGTACACCAACAAATGCTTGGGTCAGTGCTATACACATGGAGACTCAGACAGAATTCCTAGCCACAGGTGCTGTTGGCACTGGAGGGGTAAGCCAGTGGATGAGAGTTCTCTGGTTCTCAAAGATTTTTAAAACAATGTTATCATCAGAAATGTCGATGTAGAAGCCTCTCCCCCACCACAGCCAGCCTCTACCACTGCATCCAGTTGCAGAGCGAACCAGAAAATACAAGATGTGTCTCTATTCCATCCTCCCCTCTGTAACTATCCCTCCCTTTCAAGTAAATAAGTCTTTAAAACAAAGTCAGATTTCTAATAAAAGAAAAGTTTTCTCCTAAACATGTTCACTGCTGAATATTAATTATATACAGACAGAAATTCTTACTTCTTGTCTTTTCTTAAGATCTTCTTTGGCTGCTCCAAAGCGTTTGGTTAACCTTGCTATCTTGGCCTGAAAAAATAAACAAAAATGAAATGTAAATTGCATTTTAACATTTAAAAAGAATCAATGCATATGTAACAAAAACCCTATACATTACAGGATCCTCAAAAGAAAGCTGAAAGCAGAAGAATCAAGGATGCTAACTGTAAAATATATTCCTGGAAAGTAGGAAATCCTGTGAAACACTCTTGAATAGAAATTTAGCTTGTTTCCTTAATGTGCATATGTTTGAAAATTATAGCCTGGAATTTGTGTTGTTTTTAGTATGGTGACAAACACACTTTTCTTAGTGAGACTTACACAGTAAGTAAATCATAAAATATAGTTGGATAAAACTACTCATGCATGGATGATCGAGTTATCTGCATACTCTAATATCCTGCTATTAAACTACTGCAAATAATAGTGTATTTCTTTTACATAATTTCTTTAGGATACATTCATGCAGGTGGTATTCCTGAAATGAAACATTTTTATGCTTCTTGCTTGAATGTTTTTAGAAAGACTTTAGTAACTGACACTTTAACAATAGTGTAGGTCCTCGCCTTGAAAGCACCAGGATCCCATATGGGCGCCGGTTCTAATCCCGGCCGCTCCACTTCCCATCCAGCTCCCTGCTTGTGGCCTGGGAAAGCAGTCGAGGATGGCCCAAGGCTTTGGGACCCTGCACCTGTGTGGGAGACCTGGAAAGAAGCTCCTGGCTTCAGATCGGCAAAGCACTGGTTGCGGGCACATGGGGAGTGAATCACTGGATGGAAGATCTTCCTCTCTGTCTCTCCTCCTCTCTGTACATCTGCCTTTCCAATAAAATAAATAAATCTTTAAAAAAAAATACTGTAAAGAGTGTTGTCCACAAACTTTGATTTCATATGTGTAAGTTCATTAAAACAGCAGAGCTAATGCTCAAAGTTGAAGATTTTGTCCAAGAGTTACTTGTGTCTAGTAATAAGATATAAAGGCAAACAGCCTAATTAAATACCTTTAATATGGGTTCATTTTTCTAATGAATAAACTCTTTCAAGTAACTTTTCCAAAAATAATAGGAGAGTAGAAGGCCTAACATTTTTAGAAATTCTGTTTAAGCTACAGAGATCTGCTTTTGAAGAAATCATTGGTCTCAGGAAGAATTGCCAGAAAAATGAATCATTCATGCCTCATACTAAATGCTTAAGAGAATAGAGAAAGATATAGCCTTGTTTATGCAAAACAGACCCTACTGTGAAATTCTTGGCTTAACAGAAAAAAATACTTGGAAAGCACCAATCCACAGAAAAAGCCAAAAGCCAACCTTGCCAACGCCCTGGCCTGCTGGTCTCCACCTCTCGGAGACAATAGGTTGCCAATAGTTGGTATACTCTGTTTACACTCTAACAAACTAATACAGACTGCTTTCACTTGCTATAGTTAAAATTTCAATGCATTTCTTAATCAACTTCAACCACTATGCCAGAATAATTTATAGAAAGAATGAGACATAGACGATATAAATTCAAGTCAGTGTACAAACCTGTAGTTCAGTAAGAACTGTCTTATGCCTCTTGTTACATTCAATTTTTTCCACTCGAGTTTTCAATTCTGCCAAAGTCTTATCAAACACAGCACACTGTAGTGCACACAACTTTTCTTCCAATAACCATTGTATAACCTAAGGGAATATAAAATCCTTTGTTACATTTCAGCCAATAGCAAATAGTATTAAGGCTATAAGATAGAAATAATGTATTAAACTAATGACAATATTAGGATCCATAACAATGCTAAGCTGCTAAGCTGCTCTACCTCCCCAGGTGTAATATGTATCTCATTTGAATAGTTCATACTAATTGTGAAATAAAGTGAAGTCTTCACTTAACCTCTTATACTTAAACCACTTAGAAACAGTCAAAAGAAAGGAATGGTTTCTAATCATACACATCAGTATTTTTGATACATATGTATCACTGTAATACCAAATTCCTACTGAACATTTCCAAATGTCTATTCAAAATGTCCATCTTGAGGCCAGCAAGGTACAGAAGACTGAGCTGTCAGGCCTTGTCAGAGTGCTAGCTGAGATCTGTCACTGCACTTGCGATGAGCTTCTTGCTAAGTGGCTGGGACCCTGTGGGACACCAGGATGGAGTCCCTTGCTACCAGTCTTGGCCTGTGCCAGACTTCATTCACTGTTGTGGCCCTGTGCAAACAGCAGATAAAAGACTAATTAATCAATGAATCCATCAGTCAGCCAGCCTCTTTCTAGCTCTCTCTCTCTCCCTCCTTCTCTCTTTCCTCTTGTCTCTAAAATAAATAAATACACCAACTTTAAAACAAATTTTCCATTTTATCTCATTAAACTCCCACAGCAAACACTGGCATGTACTCCTTGTACACCTAAAGTTTCCAAAATTCTTTCAAGTGGGTCTTTTCACAAATCAGACTCCAGAGAAAAGACTGGGCAAATATTACGTCCATACGCCAAATAAAAACTGGGAAGAAAAAAACTCTGCCAGATTTTTACTGTCTCATTTATTATTCCCTTTCCTAAAAAGCAAAAATATTTGTACTGCATCTTGGTCTAAAACCTCGACCTCTTATAATCTAATCAGCAAATAACAAGTCTGAAACGCCTTGAGAAAACAGTATCACACTCCTCTCCATAAAATGTACATTTATCTTAGTATACATTCAAAGCAATCTACACAAAATACTAAATATTTTCATTTTTTCAATCTTTAGTTTAATAGATGAGAGGCTTTCAAACTCCATAAATTACCTTTTTGGTTTTTTTAGCTTTTTATTACTGTCTTAAATTTTAGTATCAACACCAAAGCATGTAATAAAATTTTAAACATATGGGCTTATAACCACTAAATGAGTTTATCATGAACATTAAGATGTTAAGGGCCCAGCACGGTAGCGTAGTGGCTGAAGTCCTCACCTTGCACACATCAGGATCCCATATGAGCATTGGTTCTAATCCTGTGGCCCCACTTCCCATCCAGCTCCCTGCCTGTGGCCTGGGAACGCAGTTGAGGATGGCCCAAGGCCTTGGGACCCTAAACCCACTTGAGAGACGTGGAAGAGGCTCTGGGCTCTTAGTTTGGATTGGCTCAGCTTCAGCCATTGCTGCCGCTTGGGGAGTGAATCAGCAGATGGAAGATGTTCCTCTCTGTCTCTCCTCCTCTCTGTATATGTAACCTTCCAGTCAAAATAAAATAAATCTTCAAAAAAAATTTTTAATGTTAATCTATAGTACTCTAATGTTTCCTTTTCATGTAAGAAATGGTCCAACACACTAAGAAAAAAAGATCATCTAAAACCTATATTCAGTTTTATTACTAACATGAAAAAAAGAAGTCAAGATATCTTCCCCCACTCATGTTGATAATTGCTACCATTTCTTTAAAAAGAAATTATATATCCAAGAGAATCAGAAGAAATTTTAAAAGTAAGTTATCAAGGATAATAATGGACTTAATAAGCTCAGTCACTTCTCAGGTTTTCTTTCCATGAGAAACCAGGCATATGTTAGCAAAATTCACAACACCATAAGGTCAAAAACCTAGAAAAACAGCGGCAATGGTGTATTATTTCAAGACGGTTGTTAGCTTATAACTGACAATACCTTTTGAAGTTTCTGGTTGATGTCTCCTTTGGCCGTAATCTTGACTTGGAACTCTGCCTCGTATTCTTCTTCCATATATCGGCGACGTTTGGACTGCACATTATCCATGTCCTCTGATTTAGAACGTTTTCTTCTGGAAAAATCATCTGAGACAAAAATCATGATGTTCAGCCAGGTATTTGTGATACAGGCCTTAACTACCTCTTTTCCATCTATCAGCACAACTTTGGTCAAAATCACATCCTCAACCAATTTTACAAATTGTTTTTGAAATTAGAAAAGTAGGTATAGAGCTTTAAGCTTGAAATGATTTCTTAAAATGCTAAATAAGATTTTTGACACGGAAATCACTTTCTTGCTTAAAATCTTCCTACTAAAATGGAAGTTGTCTAGTAATTTGTCTGCAGAATGTAGATGAAATCATCTCACATTCACTGCTTATACTAAATTTCAGAGTATACATGCATCCTTTGCTAAGCTTTAGTTACTTCATTCTTCTTTATAATATACACAGAGAAATTCTTATTTGTTAGCCTCAGGAAAACAATGTAATATTTTTAGTATAGCCTATTACATTTCAAATATATAAAAACGGTAAAAGTAACGGATGGTGTGGTGATGCAGTGAGTTAAGCAGCCGCTGGCAAAGTCAACATCCCCAGAGGGGCATTTTAAATCCCAGCTTTTCCCTTCCCATCCAGCTCTGTCCTGGTGTGCCTAGGAAACAGGATAAGATGTCTCAAGCACTTAGATCTCTACATCCATGCAAGAGACCCACAAGAAGTTCTTGAATTCTGGCTTCAGTTTGGCCCAGCCCTGGCTGTTGCAGCCAATGGGGAGTGAACCAAAAGATAGAAGTTATCTCTCTCTGTGTGTAACTCTGCCTTTCAAATGAATACATTCATTAAATCGTTCAAAAACATTAAAAAGTTATGTTATAAAAGTACCCATGATAATGCATAGAGATCCAAAGGTCTTCACTTAGAAAACTGCTATTTTATATATAACATTCATGAGATCATAGACAAATACCTGGTTTCTTTTTGAATATCTAAAAACATCGCCAAAAGCTTTTCTGTGATCAAACCCATTCCGGCCACCTCATTCTATATTTGCATCAGTGTGCCTATGTTTACACCCAGTTCTTTTCTGAACCCAGGGTTCCAGACTTCTAAAAGCCCAATGATGCTTCCCTAAACCCAACACATTTAGTTTCATCATTACCCCCTTAAGCTTAAAAATCTTAACTATAGACCAATACACATATTTCTGTTCACACACATGAGCCCAGCTAAAATCCTATGGTATCACCCTCTGAACAAAAATCTAAAAAAGTTTTTGGATCAGAAATTTTGTGCAGAAGCTTGTATTGCTAATTGAGTTGCTGCAAACTATTTTGCTTCTGATTGAGTCTGCTGCTAATATACACCCAAAGAGGCAGCCATGATGGATCAAGCACTCAGATTCCTACACTTACATGGAAAACCCAGATTTGAGTTCTGGGTTCTTGATTTTTGGCTGGCCCAGCTTTAACTGTTGTGGGCAGTTAGGGAGCAAACCATCAAGATGGAAAACATATCTCTGCATTTCAAATAAAATATATATAAATTTAAAATAATGTTTTAATACTGTTTCTTTAAAAAAAAAAAAAAAACTTAAACCAAGTACTCTAGTAAAGTTTAAGTCCAAAGCTTTCTTTTGAAACAACGGAAACATACATAAATAAAACATAAAATTATACAAAATAGTTAAACTTTCCAAATGACTTAATTTAATAAATTTTCCAGATTATTTAAATAGCAAAACTTTGGAACTATCTCAGAGACAGAAAGAAAACTTAATGGCCTTCCAAAAAAAGGGCATGCTATTATCTTCCAAACTAGTTCACATTTCTTGGTATATGCATACTTTTCTCAGAAGGCTTTTCATCTTCTTCATTTATTACTTGCTCGTCTTCCTCCTCAGGTTTGCTGTCTTTTTCATTACTTTCTATTTCTGCTGTAACAAAAATGCAAAAGAAAACTTAATTCCACTAGAACTGATACCAGCTCAATCATTCACATTATTGGTAATTATCAAGTTACAAAACTTGTATGAAACCAGAGTTCCGAAATGTGAAATGTGGGAAATAAAATGGGTGCATGAACTGGCAGAAATTAGTAACGAAGTCTCAACCATTTAGTTTAGTTTCAACTGCTCTATAATTCATAATAAACTCAACATAGGAAAAACAAATTACAATATCAATTTGAAAACAAAGATTCTTAGTAATTTTCTAACACCAATAAGCTTAATAAAATGTGAAACTACTGTACAGATTTCTTTACATTCACTTATTAAACCTAAAATTGTGATTGTGGCAATTATAAGACATTATTAACCAATGGTAAAATAAAAAATATCCAATATTATCACCAAAGAGGTTGACTCATAAAATAATTTCAATAATTATGAGATAATTCATAAATGAAACTGAAAAAGCTGTCTTTAGCATAAAAAGTTTTACTTTAAAATGCCCACTTGATGACAATGCTAACAAATGAGATGGCCTGCTGAACTACATTACTTCCTGCCTTTAATATAATCCTACTGCCTAAGTAGTACTTTTTGTCATTACATAGACACAGAAAGGTTAAATGAATGTCACCTAAACATATGAAATAAAACAGTGCTACCAAAAAGCATCGCCAAAGGTCTTTGCAATTGTTATATAACAAATAAAAGCCAAAAAGTACCAAAAATTGCCTTTAGTAAATTAATCTTCAAAAGAGGTTCATAAGAGGTTGATAGGAAAAAATAGAGTATATTATGGTATCAAGAAAATTGAAATTTATGTATTTTTGGTAATACACATTTTCCATGTAATACAAAAAAATTGGTCTCATAAAATAAACTCATATTTTCAATTGTTCTTCCACAAAATTTATGAAACACTCTCATGGCTTTTTTTCTCATGGGGTAACAGGGCTATTGCAAGTCACTAAAACATCTGAACTATTTTTTCCCCATACATCACTACAACTGGCTCCTCGTGACTCCAATCAGGCATGTTTTACTTCATTACATTCCACAACTCGGACTAAATAAATAATCACAAGGCATGATCATTTTAATACGACATTTTTCTCCAAACATCACAGTTTTAATTGTAACAGCTATAATGACAAAATGCAAGGTTAAAGGTAAAAACAAGAAGGGACCAGAATAATTGACGAGTCTATTAAAGTTCTGCAAATATTTCGCTCACTCTAAGATAAAACAATAAGGTCAACATGGTACATAAAGATTATTAAAACTGCTTTTGAATTTTATGTTAAAGATTAGGATCTCTCAATCTTAAATTGACAGAAGCAATGCTTTTGCTTTGTCATAGACAGAAACTCATTATAACACATCTCTTTTAAACACTTCTCTGAATGTCCCCTAAATTTATCGCCTATGGTTTATAACTTATGTGTCTCTTATCCTAATGACTTGGGGGACACGGAGAAACTGCACCTCTTGAGACAATGTACAACATCTGTCATGCCTCCAGTTCTCCTAACTGGAACCAGAGCACCCACACAGACAACAGCATCTTTCATGACATGTTCAACACTGCCTCTTACAGGAGTGCAAGAGCTTGTGTTACTTTACACAAAAACACCTCCCCTCACCTAATTCCCTGGAAGACATGAGTGGATTCTAAACACTTAAAACACTCACTAGAGTTTTAGAATAGACTCACAGAATTAAACTTTATCCTAGATGTGGGGGGCTAATGTGATTGCTCAACCTGCTACTTCCCCACCTCCAGCACCCTATATGGACATAAGTTTGTGACCCAGCAGCTCCATTCACCAAGGAACTTACTGCTTGTGCGCTGGGAAAGCAACCATGAATGATTTAGGGCCTTGGGACCCTGCATTTACATGGGAAGTTCCTGGTTCTGGATCGACTCAGCTCTCATTGGGGCCATTTGGGGAATGAATCAGCAGATGGAAGATCTTTCTCTCTTCCTTCTCTCTGCAAATCTGCCTTTCTAATTTTTTGTTAAGGGAGCTTGGGATAAAAAAAAATCAGAGAATAGAAGGGCAAATCTCTTAAACCCAGAAAAATACTGAAACGCCCTTGAACCCAGACAACTTCACAAATATAATTCCAGGTAGTTCCTAGAACTTCTGAAACTCATCTGAAAAGTACTTGGGAATATGCTCTTTAAGATCTGTTTTGACTCAGACAAGTTTCTGCTCTAATTCTTCATCACAAGTTGATATATTACAGCTGTATGCAGTACTCCTTAGTACCAGATCTTTTCATTTTGGTAACCCTAAAACTTTGAAAAACAGTGGAGAGAAATTAAATGTTTAAAATCTATTTGACAACTTACTTTCAGCAAGATTCCGTTAAGTAAAGGTAGAAACCTGTTTATAAAGGATTAGAAGAATTTATATTAGGCCCAAGCTGCAGGCAACTGCCTACATTGACCTGTACCCAGGCAAGTGTACACTGCTAAGAGAAAAGCAGCCAGGAGTTGGTGGGCATTCTAGGCCTGGTTAATATCAAATTTGTGTTAACTGTAACAGTATGCCAGCATAGTTGCTTATTGTTTGTTTCTTTTGTTTCTTTCTTATTTTAAGATATGTGGTGAAGGTGATAAATGCTGGGCAAGGACATACCACCTGGACTCCCAGTTGAGAGGACTGAGGATTGCCCAGTGAAGGGGATCTAGGAATGTACTGCAGTGGGAGCAGCTGAGGCCATCTTTGACAGGGAGGAATGGCTTCTGGGTCATTGCATTTTCAGGTAGGCAAGAGAGCTGAGATGGAGTAATTTAGAGAGGAGAAATAAGAGGACATGTTTGGGTCAGGCCAAGGCAACCACCCATGTGGAAGACCTGTGCTGGACTAAATTACATTGCCCACCACCCACTGGTGCAAAGAAAAGCTGGGGCTAGGATGCATGCCTAGCTGGACTAGGCCACAGTACCCACCCATGGGTGTTAGAGCAAGGATTGGGCCATGTCAGGCTGGACTGCAGCATCCACCAGAATGTGAAAGAACCAGATACAAGGGCAGATTCTATAGGGGACTTGTGGGCTTGCCCCTGTGCTACTACATCACTCACTGGTTTATGCAAAGAGCTGGAGGGAGGTGACAGGCAGAGCCAGAATGGATCACCAAACTCGCCTGATAAGAATCCACCTGTTAGTTGCTGGGGCTGGAAAGAGGCAGGTGGGGCCAAGCTGTAGCACCTGCAAGCACATGCAAAGGCTGGGTCTGAGGGTAGACCATGCCAAGCAGGGATGCTATGCCCACCAACATGCATGGAATCTGGGGCTAGAGGCAGGTCTGGTAGGGGCACTTACAGAAATCCCTTATTAGGCCTCAGCTCCTACTAGGGACCACAAGAGCCAGGGCTGGCGTGCATGAGAGACAAGACAGAATGTAGGCTGTACCCAGCTGGGATGGGCTGCAACACCTGCCAGTGAGAGCTGAGACTACAGGTGGGCCATGCCAGGCTGGATTGAAGCATCTGCCTGCATGTACAAGACCTGAGTCTGGAAATGGGCCTGGTAGGGGAACTCTGGGGACTCCCCTTCTGGACTGCAGCTCACAATGGTGATTGCGAGAGCCACAGCTGTAAGCTGACCAGGCTGGGCAATGTTGCAGCACCCAACGGCATGCACAATGGCCAAGTCTGAGGACAGGCCAAACTGGGCTAGACTCCAGCACCCACTGGTGCTCACGTGAGCTAGGCTGGGTGTGGAACAGGCCACACTAGGCCATGGTGCCTGCTGGATCACATGAAAGCTGGGTCTGGGAGTGGGCCAGTTGGGCCAACCTGTAGTACTCAATGCTGAGTGCCAGGATTGGGGGCCAGCCTTGTCAAGCATCCGCCAGCATACACAGGATCCAATGCTGGGAATGGGCTTCACAGGGCAATTTGGAGAACTCTCCTGCTAGGCCAGAGTTCCTACTGGTGAGTATGAGAGCTGGGGCTGGTGTCAAGCCATACCAAGCTTGGCTGCAACATCCTTGGCATACATGTGGGTCAGGACTGGGAACAGGGCTAGTCCACAACACACACTGGCAGGAGTAAAAATCAGAACAGGGTACAGGCCAGGTCACAACACCTACCAGTTCACACGAGGGCTGGTGCTGGTAGTGGGACAGGTTGGGCTAGGCTGCTGCATCCACTGGTAAGAATTGGACTGGGGGTAGGCTAGGCTGTAACCCCTGCCAGTGAATGCCAAGACTGGGGGATGGGCCAGCTCAGACTGGACTGCAACACTCATTAGCACACTCAAGACCCAGGGCTGGGAGTGGGCCTGATAAGGGAACCTCTAGAATTCCCTTACTGGGCCAATGCTTCCATGGGTGAGCATGAGAGCTGGGTCTGAGGATGGGCTAGGACTGTGAAGCTATTGCACCCACTGGCATTAGAGGAGAGCCAGACCACAGTATCCCCAGCAGACACAAGATATGAGGCTGGGAGCATGACTGGCAGGGGAATTGTAGAATTGCAGGCACTCCTCTGGTAGGGTATGCCTACTGTTGGTAAGCACAAGACCCACGATGAGGGCAGGCCAGGTGGCACATATTGGCATGCATGAGGGCTGGGTCTGGGGGAAGATCAGGCTAAGCCACAAAACTGACAGATATATACAAGCGCTGGATGGGAATCAGGTTGGACTGGACTAGTTAACAACAGAGGTTGGCATGCACAAAAACCAAGGCTGGGGTGGGCCTGATCAAGGTTATGGGGGTGGGGGGTCATCCTGATTAGGCCATAGCACCTGTTGATACACATAAAAACTGGGCCTGTTGCAGACTGAATGAGCTAGGCTACAGAACCTGTTGGTTCATGCAAGGTATTGAGCCAGGGTGGAATTGACCAAGCTGCATCCACTGGTACTGGCTGGTACTGGCTGACTCAGCACTGGATGGTACATGCAAGATTGAAGTCTATGGTCACAATTGGCAAGGTTTCTCAGGGGACTCCCCAGCTGGATCACTGGACTCAGATCCTGGCCACAGAGAAAAACCTAAGGATGTGTGGTTTGACCTTGAAATACATGTGGCAGGACTGGGTCTCCTCAGTTGCTGATGCCTCTGTAGTGGGAGCAAGCCCAGATGCACACAAGGGACATGACAGCCTGCTCATCTAGACCAGCAGAAGACATTAAGTGCCTCATTAGAAGATGGAGAGCAGAACAAGTTGTACAATTCTTCTGGCCAAGTTTTGCAGCATGTTCCTGAGTTTGAGGACATAATAACATAGACTTTGCCAACCAACAGACTTTGGAAACATATTCTTGACTCTGGAGCAACAAAACTGACAACATCTCAGGGTTACCAAAACCACTCAAGTGCTTAACCTTGGCATACTTTTAGATAACCTTGGAACACTCTTCCCACATTGGAGTCTCTAAGATGTCATCAAATAAGTGTTCTCCATCCTGGTGCTAATGTAATTTGACAGCAAGGAACAGCCACCTCTCTCTCCTCCCTTGTGAACACAGGAGGGAAAAAAAAAAAAACTGAAACATTTGTCCCAAAGACCTTCCTCCATACCTCACCCTCCTCACGCTCCTTAGAGACCCACATGGGTCTCAATTATGTCAAGAACATTAAAAATAAAATTTAAAAAAATTATATTAGAGAACTTAGTTTCTCACTTTCAGAATTAGAAAATTTTATTCTAAAGAAAATACAGACATTATTGTCAGGGAATGGTAAACATTTTTTGTAATTGGACAAAAAATATTTTTAGACTTGCAAGCCCAATCCATTTTGGCATAAATACTTAATTCTCTCCTTGTGACAGGAATCGGCAAAAAATAGGCAATAGGTAAATAAATGGCTTATGTCCTAAAAAAAAAATGTTATTTTCAAAACCAGATGAGGCTCACATGATACTTTCTGACAACTGCCTCATATTACCGGCTTCATGAGAATATGTGAAACAAAAGAAGTTTCTGCAGACTAATTAAAGACAGTAGAAACTCTGACAGTAGAAAAATGGGAAAAGAAAATGAACAGGTAATTCAGAAAGAAATACAAAAAGTTAATAAACATATACAATTCTTAGATTCATAACACAGATCACAAAGCCTTTCTAGAATTTTTTCATTGATAATGTAACTTATCCAGAAATTCTTGAGTTTTATTTAAGTAATATTTAATTATAAACAAAATCTTCTATTGAATTTTATGCTCCCCAAAACAAATCTTTATCAGATTCTAAATCTATTCTGAATGCAGCACCAGTAGTATCTCTTATTGGCTTAGATATAGGGTATGAGACAAAAACATAAAGATGGCTCAAGTATTCTGGCCCAAGTAAGAAGGACAGAGCTGCCATTACAAGAAATCAACTCATTAAAATCCTACATTATACAAAGAATGAAAGGCAAGACTTCTCAAAGCACATTATGCTTTCAAGAATTTCTCTCATCTATGTTCCCAGTAAACCAACTGAACATTATCGCTGTATTCACAGCCTTATATTTAATGACCTCTGACATAATTCTTAACTGCATTGTGAAGGTACTAAATTTTATCTTCAAAATCCCTGATAGCAAGAAGGACATGGCCCACCTCTCTAAGAGGTTCGGTGAATGCTCTTCAGGAAGAAAAGGTCATCTCTTAATAAAGAAAAAGTCTTTACTTCCAAAGGCTGGTCTGATGTACTGGGGAATTCCCTCTGTACCTCCAAAAAGTGCCTCCATTTGGTTTTTTTTACAACAAAGGAGAAAGCATATACTACTTCATGCTAGCAAGGCTGCTTGTCTCCTATTTCTAACTATTCAGGAGAATGTGATACAATGAAAACAAAAAGGTACTAAGATAATTCAAAAAGTCTACGGAAACTGTGATAAGTTTATATTAGTACAAAAATTGTGAAATCCATGCCCCCATTTTTTGATGGTATTCAAAAGATTCCTCACAACTGAATTTCAATTTTTTTGTACCAAAATAAACAACTTTTTTTATTTCATTTGTCCACAAACTTTTGACACACCCTTACATTTATGCCCATCTGAGAGAATGAGGCTTCATAAATGTTTGAGACTGAAACTAATACAAAAGAGGACTCTTCTTCTCTAGGAATGAGAGGTAAGAGAGGTAGGCACTGAACAAAACACAGAGTTGCCATACTTTGTATATAACCAATTAAAACTAACTTAGCCATAACAGGGATCAAATGAGAAAGAGAGGTACAATCAAAAAGAAGAGATTTGGGTTGTAGGAAGATTGTCTAAAAGAGAAGGGAGAAGACAGTAAGTTGGATCGAATCAAGACAGTGAAGGGAAACAACGACTGGAAAATAGATAATCAGATTTCAAGGTTTCTGGCTTTCAACAATGGTTTCATTCTCTCAAAAAATAAATATTAAAGAATAAGATTTTCTTGGGAACATTAACTAAAAATATGAACCAAATTAGTAGAGTTTCTACTCTGTTTGGTGTTCATTAAGTGATGAAAAAAAAAATGCTTCTAGGACTTCGACCAACAATGTTCTAGTTACTGTTAGGTTGATCCATCTTATGTCTGTTCCTAGATTACAACGCCCCTCTGGGGCGTTTTTAATATCACATTTCACTTATTTTTACCACATTTCACTTATTTTTACCACATTTCCGAGCACACGATATAATGTTATTCATTCTGTACAACCGTCAACATTCTCAGCTTTCTTTCAACTAAAAGAAACTTCCAATGTGGTTATAATCAATTCATTAAAGTTAAGAAAAAAAAAATCTTTAAAATTTCAACAGCCTACTAACCTGGAGAGCATGCTTCATTTTGTGATATAACTTCAGACTCGTCTTTTTCACCTGAAATATCTTCCTCATCAGAGAGGACCAAAAAGGCTTCTTTTGGCAAACTCTCACTACTTTCTTGCTTGGATGGGGAACCAAAAGAACCTTCCATTTTGTCTTCCAAATCTGTATTTGTCTCATCAATTGGAAGGAGAGAAGTTTTAGAAAAGCAAGTAAGTTCATCCTCAGCAGGTGCAAGCTTTTCTAAAATAGGAATGATTTCATCTGTCTCCATAGAGTCTGTATTTTCTAAAATACTCTCATTTTTGCCATCTTTCATAACATTTTCACTAACAGCTTCTATAAGGTTTGCAGAGTTTTCATCATCATTTTTTTCACCCTGGTCAATTTCCATACTGCTAGATATAGTCTCTTCTCCGAGAGAGAGCTCTGTAAAAGCACCTCCCTCCACCTTCTTTTCATTTTCAGGAGGTAGATTTGAACAAATAATGGTGTCTTCTGCTTCTAGAGTTTCATCATCAGCATCAGTATTACTATCAGCTTTGCTTTTTTCATCAAATGAGTCCTTACTCGGAATTTGATCTAACTTTTCATCATACTTATCTTTTTCAAGAAAATCATCTTTATTGCTGTTCGGCTCTGTACTGTCCGTTTCAGGAAATGGTTCACAAACTGGTACAGAGCTTGGGTCCAAGTTGGAATCAAGAGCTGGTTCAGCAGTCAGTCCACTCGAGGGCAGTTCACAGGAGGCTGGCTCACTAGAGGCTGGGTCACCTAAGACCAGTTCACCCTTGGCCAGTCCACTGGAGGCCTCATCAGCAGGGGACATGTCACTTGAGACCAGGTCACTTGAGGCTGGCTCCCCAGAGGCCTGATCATCAGTGGCAGGTTTCCCAACAGCTGGATCTCCAGAGACTGGCTCACCAGAGGTACAATCCCCAGTGGCCAGTTTACCAGAGACTGGCTCACCAGGGTCAGGTTCAACAGAGGCTGGTTTAACCGGCTCACCCGACAAGGGGTCACCAGAGGTGGGATCACCAGGGGCAGGATCTCCACGGGAGGGATCACTGGGAGCAGTCTCACCACAAACAGGATCACCAGGTTTGGAATCACCAGAGGGGGCCTCGCCGGCAGCTGAATCACCAGCAGTCAGCTCAGTAGAGGCTGGGTCATCAGATGTTAGTTCATTGGTGAGATTAGAAGCTGGCTCAAGAATTGCATTATTAGAAGACAAGAGTTCACAACTTAAATCATTGTCCTGTTTGTTTTTTACATTAACATTTAGAATGCATGGAGTTTCCTTCCACTCTGCCTTACTTTCTTCAGTATCAAAACAAGTATCTTCAACACCATTTACTTCTTCCTTGTAATCTGCGTTTTCCAAAGGTGAGGATGGGTCCAAGTCTCCGTTTTCATGGTTGCCATTCAGCAGCTTGACATCAGTTCTCAACAGTTCTTCTTTGACCTTGTACACTGTGTCCAGTTGCTGACGATCACTCACTCTCATGGTTTTACGAGCCTTAAAGACTTTTTTCTGAGGTTCTTCTATACTATCCATTTTGAACCTTTAAAAAAAGGAAAAATGTTAAGTAATTGAAATAGTAGACACTTAATTACAGATTTCATGCAAACTGATCTTATTAGAGAAGCAAGGAGTACACTTTATATAATTTTTCAGCCAATACATATTGAAACATTCATCAGGAGTTGGAGGTGGTGAATCTGGTCTCAAGGTGGAAAGTTAAGACCAAACAGAACCGGGCCCGGCGCGCTGGCGCAAGTGGTTAAGTCCTCGCCTAGCACGCCCGGGATCCCATATGGGCGCCGGTTCTAATCCCGGCAGCCCCGCTTCCCTTCCAGCTCCCTGCTTGTGGCCTGGGAAAGCAGTTGAGGACGGCCCAAAGCTTTGGGAACCTGCACCCGCGTGGGAGACCTGGAAGAGGCTCCTGGCTTCGGATCGGCATAGTATCGGCCCGTTGCGCTCACTTGGGGAGTGAATCATCGGATGGAAGATCTTCCTCTCTGTCTCTCCTCTCTGTATATCCGCCTTTCCAATGAAAAAATAATAAAAATAAATCTTTAAAAAAAAAAAAAAAGACCAAACAGAACCAGAGCAGTTGAGGAAACTGACTCAACCTCTTATTGGTGGCAGATTCAGCAATGTTTGCTAGACCACACAAAGTGTGCTGTGGAACCAAAGAGAGTTGTTTCTAGAAAATATTCTGTGATGCCTGGTACCCATCTAACACTGAAGAAAGTTTTATTCATGGAATTAGAAAGGAATATAACTCAAGAGACAATTTTGAATGGTATGACAAGACTGAAGCACAGGAGTTAAGGTAGATTTGTTTTTCTATCTTGATGACAATATAGTTGATAAAATTCCTCAGAAATACAGTCTATTAATGGGCATGGTTACAAAATGCAAAGGTCATTTCTAAACCATATGGTTTACTTTTGGATCACAGAGTTCCTGAAAATTTGTTTGACAACTTTACGGGTCATGTAGGAAAACTTTCTAAGTGGCACATAGTGGAAGAGGTAGCTAAGATGGTGCAGGTGATAACAACAGAGGCAGTTTGGGAGGGGGTAATGTTAACAGCCACGGCAGTGGTCTTGGTTAGCCCACCAGGCTACCATATGCATTTTTAAAAAGTGAGTTGAGGGCCAGGCGCGATGGCCTAGCAGCTAAAGTCCTTGCCTTGAATGTACCAGGATCCCATATGAGCACCAGTTCTGATCCTGGCTGTCTGCTTTCCATCCAGCTCCCTGCTTGTAGTCTGGGAAATCTGGGAAAGCAGTCGAGGATGGCCAAAAGCCTTGGGACACTGCACCTGTGTGGGAAACAGGAAGAGCTCCTGGCTCCTGGCTTCAGATCGGCACAGCACTGGCCATTGTGGTCACTTGGGGAGTGAATCATTGGACAGAGGATCTTCCGCTCTGTCTCTCCTCCTCTCTGTATATCTGATTTTACAATAAAAATAAATAAATCTTAAAAAAAAAAGTGAGTTGACTGCATTTTTTAAAAAATCAATTAATGCTAACTATTAGCCAAGCCATAAAGCATTCTGGTTTTATTTTATGTCCACCAGGGAGTCCAAATGATGAGAAATGCCCAAACTGAATAAATGTCTGAGACCAATTTATAACGGCTGAATTATATAAATTACTCTCCCTTCAAAATAGATTTCAAAGTCCTTCTACCACAGAAGTAGATTTACTTGGATAGGACCTTTATAAAGGTCTCCAAGTTAGGATAAGGTTATTAGACACGAATCCATTATGGCTAGTATCTTTTTAAAGAAAGAGGAAAAGTTGGTTGGCATTTAGAGAGTGAATCGGTGGGCAAAAGTTCTGTGTCTTTGCCTATCAAATAAATAGAAAAAGCAGAATTCACACATCAGCAGACATGGACACAGGAAAAATGCCAAGGAGAGCCTGGAGTTATGTTGCCACAAACCAAGGAACTGTTAGAAGGTAAGACAGATATATATAACACATTGTTCCTGATACCTTCAGAGGCGAGCACAACCCTGACCTCATTTTGATTTCAAACTTCTAGTCTAGAAAATTGTGTTGTTTAAGGAACAAAACAGGTTGTTTGAGGGAAAAAAAACTCAAGAAATTTAATTCACAACATGGAATAGTATGGTAAAATAAACAATCATCTCAACAGATACATTCACTCAACAAAATTCAATAGTAATTCATAATTAAGACTCAAAATAATAGAAACCATTCACATCCAATAAAAGTTATCAAAGAAAACCACAAATATCACACATAATGGTGACATGTTCTTTATCATCATGTTTATGTTAATGTAGGACCAGTGTAAACAAAAACCAGAAGGATGAAGAGAAAGAGAATGTCACCAGTCAGTATGGAATAAGTCTTCCATAGACCAAGACATGTAGGAGGCAAGAACACCGCATTCACACTGGATATGAACTTAATCACTACTGCTAACCAGCAGGAATGACTGCACAACAGCACTTGCCACAGCCTGAGAAGAGCGGGAAGAACTCTCTCTGATAACCTGGAACTGACACTCCAAGACAGTCCTCAAAGTCATTAAAATTGATCTGATGCTTACAGCTAAGCCACGGTGTTATCATGCTGACACAAAACCACTCGGAAAACGTTCAAGACAGACAAAAATCTCTGAAATCAACAAAATATCAAATGCCTCTCTCTTGCTAAGCAGTGATGGTTACGCCTTCATTGACTTTAGTTTTATACTGTAGTAGTCTGTTCTCACTATTTAGGTAAGATTTCCTGAGATGTCCAACAGGTAGGGAATTCCTCCCACTTGCTGATGTCTCCTAGTATCGAGGCTCTACTTTCTTAGCATCTTCCCCACACAACCAAAACCGGACTATGCCAAATTCTACGCTAGGATTTTTTCCTAACATTCTCTTACAGCAGACATGCCTTAGTGTCCCTACAGTATTCATTCCTACCAAACTGTAACAAAAAACAAGCCTAGGTTTGTTCAATTATAAATGATCATTGCCCTAAGGGCACAAAGGAAGCCCAGCCTTTTAATGAAGGTCAATGCGGTTTGAAAATCTACCTCTTAGTTATGGAACTTCTAGACTGCAATACATTCAGCACTCATTCTCTCTCACTTTAAGTCAGTTGCTTTCTATATGTTTCGTAGTTTTCCAAGCCTTTGTATGTAGATTACAGAACCAAATCAGACTACTTAGGAAAATTGCTTTAAACAGAAATCTCATTGCAAAATGGTCATACGTATGTATTTTAAGTCATTGTCATCTAAAATTTCAACTTCAAGTTTCCACCCCATCCATTCCAAAGTCATGCAAACTACAGCAAGAAGATACAATGCAATTTCTGTGGTCACTTGGCTGACTCCAAACATTTGAAACATATCTGTAACATAAGAAATATGTTTAAAACATATTCTTTTAAACATAAGAAATATGTTTAAAAATATAAACTATATGACATATTTTTAAATACTCAACTGCATTCAGTCGACACTTACCTCCTTCACAGATGTTTTGAGCATAGCTGGCAGGAGTCACAAGCTGCCTTGAAAATAAGTACTGCTTTGTAAAAAAATGTCATAACTCTTAGTCACCCTAATAAGAAAATGAATTCCTTAAGAGGCATATGGACTTAAATTCCAACTCCCCAGATATTTACTGTGTGACATGGAGCAATACATTTAAATCTTTAGTCTCAGTTTAGGATTTTCCTTAAAAAGGGAGTATCAGTACCTGCCAGAGATTGTGGTAAGAATTAAATCAAATTCTGTACATTACATGCTTAGAAAATAGCAGGCCCTCAATGGATTTTATTAACACAGTCATCTATGTATATTCAAGATAACATTCTCTGACATACATTAAGAGACAAATTTCTTTTTACTACTTCAATATTTCTTAAATGAACAGGAAAATTCAACATGCAAGCTTCGTGTTTAATACTAAATTGCCACCACCAAATAACATTTATTAAAAGCAAATACACCCCAAGGCATGCTGATTTTTATCAACACAACTACCATTCAAGCCAGCAATGATTAAAGTGTTGTAAAGAATCACAGAACAACTACCATCCATGGCCACAAGGGAGCACACGACAGCCATTTACCAGCTGTTTATAGCTTCCAAGTATAATGAAAAACAGACAAAGCAATAAGGAAGTAGCAGGACCAACCAGTTCAAACTAGTTCAGCCATATCTGTGCAAACCAATCAGTGGTCTGCTTTTAGAAACCTATTTTGCATAAGCAAAACATACTTAAGAAAGATACACATTAGGGAAGGGTGTATTACCTGCAAACAAGTCTCCATGATTGCATTACCAGAAGCCATTTCCACAGATGATTTTATAAATACTGATATACGGAACTGAAATGTCATTCATAAAAACCATGCCACAAAATAAATGTTACTTTTTTTTTAGATGCCACCACTAGAGAACCATGAAGCTTTCGCAAGATTGTTACTCATTTTCACAGGAAAAGGTATCTGTGTTTTACAACAACGCCCGTCATATCTAGAAGTAAATGTAAACATGAACTAGTTTCTCCCGAAAGTATTTTTCTTCCCATATGGAAGAACGTGGGGAAAAAAAAAAAGTTATTTTTAAGTCCTTACTCTAAATACTCAGATTCAATATCTCTGGGGAAATACTATCACTAACAAAAGGCTTTATTCCACGCAAATCTATATTTAAATAACTAGAGAAGGGTGCGTTACCTGCAAACAAGTCTCTATGGCTTGTAAAATTTGTCAAGTTTTTGGTAAATTATCTTTAGGGAAAGCCCAATGAGCCGCTTCTTCTTTGAGTGAAAACATGATTTTCTTCTATGCTTCATCCCCTCCACCCACTCCTCCTCTCACTCTTCTTTCTAGCAAAGACATCATAGCTATGAAACAACAAAGGGAAGCTGTTATGCCTTGGCTTACACTCTGCCTGCTTTCAAAAAGCTCAAGAATTTAAGTGGCTGTTCAAAGGCTGCTCACAAACTCAGCCAATCAGCAGCTAGCATTCTGATTCCTGCCCAGCAACAGGACAGAGACAAAAAGGTC